CACGCTTGCAGTCCAGCTATTCCACCTGCGCATGCACGACCTAGCTCGCCGAGAATTTTCTCTCCGCCGTTACTGCCGCGACTCTGGTCGAGAGGTTTGCAACTCTAAGCGTGCATATGCTCCAGCGCCGACCAGTACTGTCTCTGCAGCACGGCCTGCCCTCCAAAGGTCAATGAGTTCCGCTATGCGGACAATGGCTACTCCATTTCACCGACCGACCTCCAGCAACTCTTCAATCTTCAAGTTCGGCAATGGCACCAACGCTTCTACAACTTCTGATAACGCCTCCGTATGGTCCGGCTCGCATCACACGGAGAAATCAGACTCACCAAAGCCTAAGCCCAAGGCACGAATGGTACCTACAAACCGAATCAAGCTCGAGTTCAGCAACTATGCTCGCGTGGATATTGCACGGCGAGGTGGACGCACCAACAAGCGATACGAGTTTGAGTGGTGGGGTCACACATACGCCTGGAAGCGTGTAATCGACAAGAACCTCAATGTCGTCTCATTCCACCTCGTCCGAGATGGACATGGCACACCCGTCGCCCATATCGTTCCTGAAATGCGAAGTCCCAACCAGATTCTGGACGATGAGATGGCTGGAGCTTGGGTTACCCCTTGCTACATCTGGATTAGTGACAGTAGCATCATCGACGCCATTACCGACGTGGCTGAGTAAGTCACGATGAAACTCCTTGATCGTAATTAAACTAACAGAGCTTTTAGTGTCATCATTGCCACTGGCCTTATTTCCTTGGTCGACGACTGCATCAAGGAGCGATGGCAAGCTAAGAAACCCTCACACCGAGCCATCCGCAGGGACACTGGCGATGTCAACCATGCAAACCCTCGCTCGTTTATGCACAGCTTCTTCCAACGACGCCACTCTGAAGAACACTCTTCAAGCCGTGGCGCATTAAGATTTGGACGCAAGCCTGTCGCTGCGTATTAAAGTCTAAGCAACAGCGGAGATAATATCGACCGCTATCTCTGATATTTCCTATACGAACATCTATGGAATCTTGATTACTTCTATTTCAGAAAGGATACTATATGTTGGTATAAGAGAACGATTTTCACACTTCTACTTTTCTTGTTTTAACAAAACTTTTATCCCGTCACGAACAGACGGACATGTACATATTCGGACGCTTTCTTGGTTTGTTTTCTACTGTACTCACCCACCACAGACTGGTTGGGCTGTGAGGTTTTTGGACGGGCATTTGCGGGATACGAAATATCATCCCCCACGATTACAGCATGCGAGGCGCTTGGGAGTTTTTGGATAGGACTATGAGAAATGGGAAAGCCCAACTTTGGATTGATGATCTGGCCTGGCTTGGTATTAACCGGTGTCTTTATTTACCCCGGATTGGACTACGCCTCTTGACCCCAGATATGACAATGGGCATGGCTTGGGGAGAATTGAATCACTACAGAATCATTGGATTGTACGAGACACATACGAAGCCAGTTTACGCTATTATCAGGCTAAAGCTGCACGATTGGGAAGAGATACAATAATGACCTGACACGAAGGCAAAATTGACAGAGTTCTTGGTGATATTGCGCAAAATTTTCTTGCAGCTGCATGACTACTCGGTCCATTGGTATAACTCAAATGCTCAAGGTATGTAGTCAAGTCCCCTCCATCCACTCAATTGGGTTTGATAGCGGGAAGAAAAACCCTCACCCACCCCCATCTGCAACCCCTGTCAAGCCAGCTCGAGATGCATCGGGGTACGTGGGAATCGTGCCATCCGTAACGCCACAGATGCGGGGGAAACGTCCGTCTCTTGTTCATTTCTGCAGACGTGCCTTGGCATGAAATAGTCTGCCATTGACGTCTATGTAAGTCGAACCAGCTCGTTATCCTATCCCACGCGATAATCGTAGAGACGCCAGAAGCGGTCGAGTTACAGCTGCTCGACATCATCGTGGCCGTCCGGTCTGCCGAACCATGTGCCAAAGTCGAGCTTCATGAGCAGACGATTGATGCCACCAACTCGTGCAGCTGTGAAGCCACCTCGTTCCTCTGCATCATCTGTGTCCCGGGCTCTGCCGTCTCGCTGATCATCTTCGTCTTCCTCAGTTGCAGTGGCGGGAGCTGTGTCGCCCTCCCATTCGGCTGTGAAGATGGGGTCGGATTCGAGGGCGCGAAGGGCGGCGACGACGTCTTCGATGCCAGAGCGGACACGGGATTCGATGTCGTGAAGACGGCGCTTAACGTCACGCTCTTCAGACTCAAGGTCGACAAAGGCATCGACTACACCGGCATCTGTCTCGAGGTCTATTGATGTATAGATAGCGTGAAGACGATGTAGATGGGCGACGAGGTGATCAATGTGAATGAGGAGATTATATAGAGGTTGGGTAAATGTTGGCTGAGTGAGAAGCAGACGATGAATGAGAGTGCGAAGGTACAGGCGATGAGCTGTTGAAAGAGTCTGAGGATCTTGGGGAGGCGTTGAATCTCGTGCTTTGGGAGCATCATTTTGAGCTGTAGGCTTGTCATTTTCATTGCCCAGCCATAAGTCATCATCCTCTTCCTCATCTTCGTCAGCACCCCCTGATTCATCTTGTAATTTGGTTGGTGTTGGTGCTCTGGACTGCCCATGCTTGGGGTCATTGGCTGTCAGCCACTCATGGAAGCCCTCCCATAGCCCAGCAACAATCTCAGTCTGGAGATATGCTTCTGTTTCCGCTAGGAAGAATATGGCAGCACTTGCAGTTGTCCAAGAGCTACGCATTGAAGACGACCGAGATGTCCATCGCTTTCGAAGAAGGATAATATGTTCTCGGTCACCTTTTGCGGTTGGATATTGACGTCTCAAGGATGTAATCTTCCAGAGATCCGTGAGTCGAATGTGCGCTCTGCGCATTGATAGTAGATAGGCGTTGATACAAGAGTACATCTGTATGTCTGATGGTGACAGTACCATATCCAGTGGTGGAGGAATCTGGATGGACAGTAAAGACGGGACAGAGAATAGGAGGTTGCGAAAAGGCGACTCGGATAAGAGGCTTGCAGCATCACGGCTGAGACCTGAACCCGAACCAAAATTCGGAGTCGCCTTGCTCTTGGTGAGATTCAGTCGTAAAAGGTCTCGAGCAAGCTCAAGTTGTTCGTCTTCCTCAGCATGTTGGCCCTGCATAGATGCTAGAACAGCCCACGTCCTTGCGAGAACCGCCGCAACTTCACCCTCTTTGACCGTCACGTTCTTCAGACCGTCACCTTTTTCGTAAGCCAAGTTGTCTGCTCGCCTCCAACGACTGCGTATTTTTTCATCTGCCTCGTGGGTCAACTGCATTGCAAATTCACCGCGACCGAGGAGGAAGAAATCTCGCAATAATTGTAGCATTTCCGTCACCTTGGCTAGCGGGAGGAGTTTTTGAAGCGTGTTTTCAGAGAGAGATATCCGGACCGCAATGATGGCCCTCGAGAAGCTGGTGCTTTTTATTGGAAACGAGAGGCTGGATAATTCTTGAAGCTTTGATGATAGGTGATCTAGGCCACGAAGGCCTGAGTCAACGCTGCTTTTGACTCGTATGTGATTTAGAGATTTTCCGATGAAGAGCATGGATGAAGCTGTAGCTGGTGTCACGAATGCTGGTAATAGGCTGGACCGTGATATGTACTCCTGCTTCCGTTAGCAATGTTTTGCAAAGGCGCCAAACAAGACCTACGTCTTCGGACTCTTCGACCTTCTGGACGAAGAAATCGTCACCTCCAAAGCTCGGGAGTCTTCCATATAATATCCAAGCAGAAACCTGTTTTAGCCATGCTGTCTCTGCCACTGTAACAAGACTCATAGCCGTGTTTTGAACATCCCTATACCCACTCTGCAGCTCAAGCCGTAGACGATCCATGAGCTGAGCGCCGTGGCATGTCTCCCCCTTCTTATTTTTCGCCAGCATGAACTGCACCATCTCCCAAAGCCACTCCATCCTCCTAGTCCAGTCCTTAAACTCGCCTATCACCGCCGTCAACGGCACAATATTATAAGCTCCCACCAGATCCGGGTCATCTTGTAATATGCTCGCCTCGACATCGAGGACTTTGCGCTGGAAAGCTGCTAGATGGATGGAGTCTATGGCTGTTGCGACGGCTCGGCAGATGGTCGAGGGGTGCGAGTTAGCTACTTGGGCCGTGTAGCTGATGAGTTTGATGTGGACGTCGCTGAGGTGGGCGGCTGAGGCGAGGAGTTGGCGCTCGGCTGGTGATACGCCGGAGAGTGCATGAGGCTGAGTTGCATCGGTTCGTAGGAGGGGGGAGGGATGGCCCGAGAGGGAGAGTAGGATTTCGTGGAGCATGGCTGTGGTTCTGGCTCTGGTTCGGAGCTTGGTATGATTAGCGGTGATGCTTTATAGAACGACAATGGTAGGAAACGTACCGATCTTGAGCCTTTCTTGACCTCATAGAATTCCCGATATCACGCAAGATAATTATAATGACGCCGAGAAGCTCAAAGCGGCACATGAACCAAGCAGTCGTGCGTCTGTTATGTAGGGTTAATGATGTTGATCTTGAAGATTTATCTAAAGCTCCAAATTTGAGCCTTGAATACCAATCGCGGGCGTTCAGCCAAATCCAAGCTCAGACGCAAAGGCTTCTCGTTTATTGTGACTATTGAGCTCTTGAGGTTTTAACATAGCGCGACAGTAACAGGAAGAAATCAATATTTAATAGAATTCGAGGTGATGGAAGCTCCTGAGAGCGCGACGCGAAGGTCGTAGCTGCCCCGCGATCTACCGTGAACTTGATAGTTCATACTGTGTACCGACTCACTTACAATGGAAGTGCCTAGGTACTAAGGTATCCAAACCTCAGGTTTAGGTAACAATATTCGTCACAGCTCAACTGAAAGGTTTCTGCTAAAGTCTTACAGCTTTTAAGAACTAATAAATGATCGATTCGCATTACCGCCTAGCAAAATGTTCAGATAGACCACGCCAAATCAAGTCAGAAGGCTTCCCTGTTCCGAAATCGTCGCGTCTCAGTAATGTCCCTTGGCAGGCTTCTTACCGTTGGGATCATATCCACTGGCGATACTCACATTGTCACCATATGTGTTGTGTGAGCCCTGGCCACTGCCCTCTCTTGTCTCAAAGTTAGGGTTGTTATCAGTGCCTCCCACGATGATCTCACCACCACCTTTGACCTTGCCAACTACCATGCCCTTAGCAACACTCTTGAGGATGGCACGTCGAGATACACCTGTCACGTCAATGTAGACAAGTCCCACGTTCTTGACACCCCCGCCAAGATTGCGCGACAACTCACCAGCCTCCTCACCCCAACGGTGGCCGACAACAGTTGTCACGCTGGATGATGTGCCGGTGAGGAGATTGCGACCGGCTTGCTCAATACCGTCAACGACAGTATTGAAGGCCATCAGGCTCTTGTTCAGCACACCTGGTTTATAGGTATCAATCACGTTGCCGTCCTTGTCATAACCCCTGGCTCTACCATCTTTGCGACGAGTGACAGTTGCACCCAGGTTTTGTGCCATGTTGCCGATAGTGCCCACAGTGGTTGCCGAAAATGTGGCTGCTTTGTTGGAGAAGTTGTTGATCCGGCGAATATGCGCATGTGTTGTAGGCGCAAATGTCACAGGCTTGGCGAGAGGCTTTGTGTTCTTGGTGAAGCTGTCGGCTTGGCTCTGAAGGGTTCTAGAGACAACATCGGAAGTTGTGACGATAAGGCGAGATGCCTTGCTTGCACTGCTCACAATGGTTGACTTTTTATAGGCAGGGTGCATGTCCATCTCAGCCCATGGCTGCGACACAGGCTGCACAGAAATGTTCTGGCCACCGTCGGTAGGAAGAGCAATCTCGACAGGCTCTGTATCATTGTTAGCAACCTAAAGCATGGTCATCAAATTTGCAGTACATACCTTTGGAGCCGGGTTTGATTTTGCTGTCTTCCACCACTTGATAGCTATCGGTCAACTCTCCAAGGACACTGCCGTCTTCCTCATCGATAAGGACAATCCTGCCTCCAGTATGTGAGCTATGGCTGCCCTGGACATACCCTTCTCCGGGGTTATAGTCAGCTGGGTTGTAAGCGGGGAGTTGCTCGCCGGCTGCTTCGCGCGCCTTGGCTTGGGCCTTCTCGGAGGGTCTTGGAGGCTGAGGAGGAGCTGCTCGTTCAAGGAAAGCAGTGCACTGGGCGAGGATGGTCTCGAAAGTATCGACATCTTCCTGAACCCCCGGCCTGGAGTTGGTGGGAGGGAATTCGATCCTGGTGAAAGCGCCGCTATCGGGGCCGAGATCCCAGCGAGGAATCAAATAGCTCGTAGGTGGTTGGTGGTAGATCTGGGTCGTAGCGGGAAGAGGGAGGTCGAGCTCGGGTGGTAGGTGGAGGTGCAGGTAAAAGTCCTCCTCGCCATCAGAACCGCTGCCCGAAGGTTCGACAAAGCCAGATGAGGTCGGGACCATGAGGAGGGACAGGGTTTGAGGTCCTGAGGGAGTGAGGGACTGCTCTTTGCCATTGGAAATGTGATAGGCGTTGATGCCCTCTACAGCGTAGAGGAGCTTCGGATCCTGTTCGAGATTTTGTCAGTATCCATGAGTGGCGGCAGAAGGAGAATGCCATGGGCATGCCATGATGCGCCTGAAGCGTGTTTTTGGACTTACATTATGTCCAGAAGACATGATTGCGATTATCTGGTCTGGATTTGTATGGATGTGGAAAAAGATACAATCTTGGTATTATGCAATACAAAAAGAAGGATAGGTTTAGGATAACGAGTAGAAGACGAGAAAAGGGGAGAGTTGTTGAAATCCTGGAACTTGGAAAGCCGCAAGACGTGATGTGATGGAGGGGTCGGGTTCAGGTTGGTTCAGGTTTATGACAGCAGCAGCATCATTCGATCCACCAGCAAGAAACACAGACAATTCAAGACAAGCGCGATGCGCGTCAATGCAATGCGACAGAGTTATAACTTGGGCGGCTGTTGCAGGAGCTTGATTTGAAGAGCTGTGTGATCTAGCGCATCCTCATCAAAGAGGGTGGGCGTCTGTCGGCGCTTAAATTCGAACTTGAGAAGCTCTATTGACGAGCTGTGAGGCCTCTTGAGGCGATCGACGTCATTCATTGGCTGGGGGGAGCAAATGATCCTGGCATCGCGGTGTCGCCACTCAAAGGGAGTGACATTGTTCTAGGTCTGGCCATTCCGAGTTGATTCTGAGTCTAAAGAGGTTATTTTTCTTTGTTGGGGCAACAAAAACCAACTGTCGTCTTATGATGGGATCAAAGGACAATTTAGAGGTTGATTGCGTGTGCACATGGGCGAAGCACTTAAGCTTAAAGTCCCTGGCTTTTGCTTCAGAGGGTCCAGACTCCCTTGGAGGTTAGTCCATCTTGGCGTTGTAACGGGGCATGGATCTTGATGGCAGTCGGCAATTGGCAGTGACATTCATTCAGGAGCTCTTTGGGAGGCAGCCGTTTGCTGTTCAACGTAAAAGAGTTGTCCACGCAAATACTGAGGCGCATGTCGGGATTATGATGAACCGAGTGTTTGACTTTGAGAGGTAGAGAGGCAACACCTACCTATTCTCTTGGATACCTACCTTAGAAGATGTGTTAGGTATTCAGTCTGTCTGGCCTAGGGCAACTGAAGCAGGTTGCAAAGAATACTAGGTAAAAACGTGCTAAATCGGCCCTCAACTATCCCAAGTTTGTCTATTTACTTTTGTCTTCTACTGACCAGAGAGTCCTGTTCTCTTTTGACCTGCTTCAACCCGTTTCCGCCTCCGTGCCCACAGGTGGAACTTGTCTCCCGTCCCCATAGACTTATTCCCGACTTTTTCAGCCGTCCATACCTTTTGGTAAATAGGTTCCCTATGGATACCCGAGGCCAGATTTGAAAATCTGGAGTGTCTTGTAGTTGGATATAAATTGGTAATAAGTTGCTGCTCTCATTTCAATTGCCGGTTACGGTCATCATACTATGACTCGGCCGAAGAAGCTACGGGGCTAATCCGCTCCAGTATTCATTCATATTGGATGTCCATTATTTCATTTGCCCCTCTGCAATTCATTCTGTATTGTTTACGGTTTCGATAAACTACCGAAATGGACCTGACAACTACACAACTGTACGGGCCGATAATTGATCTCCCTGTAAAGCGTTGCAGCGGCATCTGGGGACTATCATCGGAGAGTTGAGGCTCATCCACGTCAATTCAACATCGAGAAGAGACCCCCACTCAGGCTAAGACGATGGCCGCCGGCGTCTTCCAAAACAAACCCACAGGGCACTTTCGTCTCTTTTATCATGTTGTTTTACCCCATCATTACGTAGCAATGTATTCTCCATATCTTCAACCCCATATAGTTCCCACATCGGCGTACCTACTGTAAACCTCCAAGGACCCCAGCCAGCGCCGACTTGGCCCAAAGAAGCTGTTATCCATTGGATAAATCTTGTTCCCGAGCAATTCCAACGACATATGTCGGAAGAGTTGCGCAAGAACAAGCAAGCCAGCTGTGAGGAACACAGTGAGGAACTCAGCTGTTACTAACAAACTGTCAATTCAAAGTAACCTGAACTGTCAAAGTGTCTGTCGTCACTTACAAGTTCTCTTCGACGTTTAAAGTTGCGTGATCCTTGAGGCTCTGCTACAGAAATGTCAAACTCGGATTTACGGCTACAGACATTCGGAATTGACACACTAATTTAGTTTCCCCTGCTTCCCAGCGTTACCGGCGCCTTTTGGTGGACATAATCCCTTGAAAAGTCCTTGTTTCGGCGCCCTCAGACTACATCTCAGCAACAGTGAGAGCAGGAATGGGTCCACGATACCTTGTCTAGTAGCTTCTCGGCTGTCACTTTGCCCAGATTTATGCATTTCCGGTAGAGATATTACCATCCCAGGACTAGTCAATCGGGTGCGTGGACCGATGATGGGATCTCATAAGTCGGCTTGACAATATGAAAGTCGGCCCGGGGATCTCATTTCGTCTTCCTTTTCTATATGCAGCTTGTGATCCTTGCTAGACCAGTAGCTCCCTGGGGTCAGTTTTCCATAAGTACTATTGTAGCCCATCCAAAGCGTCGACTTGCTGGTTCTTGCTTCGTTATTTAAATTGATGGAATCTCCCAAGGAGTTGGCGTCCGTTTGAAAGATTATTCCTTCTTCTTAGAGAAAGAAGCCCTCAAGTCTCTAATATCACTCGGCACACCACAAAAGCAGCTCTATAAGAGCTCCAAAACCGGCAAAATAGCTTCTCAGCTCCGCATTCAGTCTATACTCTCGCCTACGGACCCAGAGGGTGACAAAGAATCCAACGCATCTCCCAAGGCTTCAGCAACTTCAAAAAGAAAGATCGAAGAATTATCCTCAGCCCAAGAGGGCACGCCACCGGCGTCAATCTGGTATACTCAAGATGAAGAGCAGCCTAGAGCTGACGCCGGTGATGATAACTCTCCGGGTAGAGTCACGCCAGCCACCTCTGATGAGAAGGCTGGAAGGAGAGGATCACGAATCAAACAACCGATTCGATCTAGCATTGCTTGTCTGAGATGTCGGAGATCGAAGATCAAGTGTGACAATGATGGCGGCAACAGCCCATGTGACACGTGTGTTAAAGGAGGACATCAGTGCCAATATCCAGAAGCAGTTCCTCCTCCACCAAAACGAAACGATTCCCCGACAACAGGAAAGTCCGAAAAGGAACCACAGCAGGAGAAGAAGCGAACAAGAAAGGGAGATGATATACCCAAATGGAGCAGTGAAAAATCAGCAGTATACGCAGCCGGAGTTCTCTCATATCCCTTTTTAACGGCGGAACTATGGAATCAGTTGCTCAACATTTACAAACTACACTATGCCACAGAATTGCCCTTTCTTCACTTGCCGTCTATGAAGGAGAAAATGAGCAGTGGATCAGGTCAGGAGAAAGAGGTTTCATCAGAGCTGAACTTGGTCCTGCTTGGTATCTTGATGCTTACAGCACGTTTTCATCCCGATCTGGTACGATATGTAACGCATTTACCAAGTCAAAACAGCTCAGGTTCCCGACCATCCACTTCAAAAACCAAGCCTGGGCCGTTGTACGCCTCGGATTTCTTTGCTACTGCACTTACAACAGCTCTGGGCCCCCTCAGGACAGTCATGGATACTCTCACGATTGAAAGAATACAGTGCTTCCTGATGCTTGGATTATTCGAGTGGAGCCAAGAGAACAAATCCAGTGCTTGGATGTATCTTGGGGTAGCTATTCGCATGGCCAAGTTGATGAGACTAGAGCAAGATGACCGGCGAATGGCTATACTGGAAAACCAGGCGCCTGACACAAAACGATTCACAAAGTCACCGGAGATTGCGATAATAAGAGAGACGCGGAGACGGACGATGTATAGCTGCTTTATTCTGGATCGTCTGATGAGCTGCGGGGGCGAACGACCGCTAAGCATTGCAGTCGAGAGCATGCTGATCCAGTTGCCATGTTCTGAAATGGCATTCGATCTGTCTCTTCAAGTCTACACTGGATTCTTACAACCCCACCAAGGATCCAGTCAGCCTCAGATCAACGATGATAGCACGTTAAGTCGACTTGCCAAGTTGGTTGAGATATGGGGCGAGATTTCGAGGTACAGTTCGATCGGTGGCCGGTTACAAGACACGCATCCCCCGTGGAACCCCAGGTCGACTTTCTATAAGTTACGAGAGAAGATGATTGCGTTCGGCAAAGATCTCCCCGACACCTTCACATTATCTCGACAGAATTATTACCGACACGATAATCACCAGGCTACCAACACCTACTTGTCGCTACACATGCTGGCCTCAGTTTGTCATATTGTTCTCAACCGAGAATATCTTCCGTTTCTGCCCCTGCGATGCCGTGGGCCTCAGGGACCCCCCATGGTCAACCAAACTGTACTCAACTTTGGGCCAGATCGGTTCTGGGAAGAGAGCGCAGAAGATGTCTTCCAATCATCTCGTAGCATAATCGATATGGTTAGTCTCAGCAAAGAAAAGCTGCCTTTGTCCTCGTTGTCGATATTCTCCATCTGGCTCGCTGGGTTCATTTCTATATACGCTCACCATTTTCCGCAGATGGATGCGAGCCATCGATCGAGGAGTGACCAGGCTGAGAGTCCTTGTACGGCGGAGAATTTGAGTATACTCGAACAGGGGCAGGCTGGGACAGCATGTCAGGCTTTGCGAAGAGCTGTAACTTACTTGCCCGGCGCTCAAAGATACCTGGATAATCTTGAGGCGGTAGATCGGTGTTTTACACAAGCAAAGAACTCGACTCAGGGATCACTCAGTCTTAGGCTTGGCGGAGTTGGCAACGGTGGCCAACTCAACCAGACAAGATCGCAAGATAAACAACGACGAGAAGTATACGATACGCACCGCAAAAGTATAAGTCCTATGTCAGTGTCTCTGGAACTGATGAACTCACCGCGACCCATGCTGGAGGAGCCCCCCAAGCCCAACTCTTCAACGGCAAAGAGCCAGCTCTCGCACCCTGGGATTGACGAAGGACCATTAGCGATGGATACACCAAAGCTCTTATTGAACAATATTGAGACATTGGAGTCGGAACGGATGGGTTGGATATTGAATGATTTGGAAGGCTTCTCGGGTGCGGGCTCTTTGAGGGTTACCTTTCCAAAATGATATATGCCTGGTCTTGGAATTCTGTTTGGTACCTAGGTATTTCGATACGGCGAATACATGTATAATGACTTGACGGCCGGAATAAGATAGAGGTTTGGTTGCATTTCAGCTAGGCTGGCGGTATAACTCTGATCTTTTGACGTCTGGCATGTTGCTCAAGGAACTCTTGTGCAACGAGAAGCGAGTTTTAGCAGTGAAGCTTGAGTTCAAGGTCCTGCAGCGTTGAGAAAGAGGCAGAGGCAGGAAGCATCTTGGCAACAGGCGAGCACAAGTCTAGGTACTTTCCTTGCGTTGGCTGGACCTTCCAAGAACAATCTACAGTCAGCCGATTCTTATTAATCAATGGAATCCTTTTTGTTTTCTTCTCTCCACTCTCAACACCATTGACAGGCGTGCATGCATACTTGGATATGACATGGAATCTTTTCACAAACAAATATTGACATACCGGCCCGAATCGCATAGACTCGGTGCACAACTGACGTTACTGCTGAGAAATAAGGCGGCCGTCCGGCTTTCAATTCGGCAATACTGATCACTCATCATTTCCGTCGCTTCGAGGTTACACGACAGCAAAGCTTTGATGAGCCCGCTGACTTATAGCATGACGTCCGAATCAAGTCACAAATGGATCGCCAAGACCGGCAAATGCAAGTCACTGCGCCTAGTGCTCACCCCTTGTCTACTGCTTCCAAATCCAGATGTCTTAGTGGACAGCCCAGCTACCAAGAGGGGCCTAGAGCTGGCATCTGCGGCAGCTTCGCGGGGTTCCTCACAAACCAGCTTCAATAAGTCCCATCTTATCGAGATATGAGCGAATCCCGTCCCATGTACAATCGACAACAGACAAGTCGATGACCCGTGCAAACCGGTTTACGAGGCAGGGCTTACATATGTACAGTACTTTGCTCCTTGCGGCTCAATGCACCGAAGCTCTGCAGAGAATCGATTTGGGCAGGTCAAGGTACCTTGGTTGAGCAGAGACAGTCTAAGGTACGGATCTTCGTTGCTTCAAAACATCTGGGGTAAGCTCTCAGATCACGCAACATAAGGCTGAAGTTCCGAAACACCATGCAAGACGACGAGCAACATTGATAGATACTTAAAGCCCCAATATCGACTAGAACATCTGGCACCAACGTTTTCTTCTACAGAACGATCGCCTCTCGACCCATCAAAGCTCAAGCTCAGACTTGCCCTGGTGAGCTTCCACATCGACATCACGCTCCCACGCGCGTGGGGCGTGGGGCTTAACTCTCGTGATTGATTTGCCAGTTCCTCGTCTCTCTCCCACTCTCGCTCCACAAGTGCTGATGTCTTCCAGTTCGAGAATGCATGTCATGACAAACTTATTTCAGAATCGTTCACATGGAGAAGGCAGCAGGTCGTCAGTACATACGTAGCACACATCCGCCGCGCCGAAGCTTGTCTGAGGAGGGCTATTTGTGCTCTTTGAGGCACAGCCGGCTTCCCCTTGCGATCCAAGTGGACCGTGGTTCCTGGCGCAGAGTCTCATCGTTAGACCATTCGATGTTATGACGATTCGCTGAACTAAGAATAGTGTACTATCCCCCGCGTTGTTTGGATATCCTGACCGGCCGGTTCGATCAAAGCATGAGGAGTCGTCCGAGCTATTCTCCACTGAGGAGGCCAAAGTGCTCAGGTACATTGGAGCTATTGAGATGGTGGGAAGGACTATTAACAAGAGCCACGCCCTTTGAGACGATTCTTGTTGCAGCTTGTAAACCATATATTCCCCGTCCATCCGCTTCTATCAAGCATCAAATTTCCACCTGAAGCCATACTTTGTTTGTTAAATCTGTGTTTGCATTGCAATGCCTTCCATCACAACGGCTTCAGCTACCCCTCAAAGGGTGAAGCCGACGACAGCCAAGCCATCGTCAGCTTTGCCCAGTATTATTGATATCCGTGGTGAACATGTCGAAATCAACCTGAAAGACCAAATTGCTTCCATGTTTAACCCTGACGAGGGCCCAAGGAAGCTTCCAACCCTTCTTTTGTACAACGAGAAGGGGCTACAAATATTCGAGGACGTATGTTGATTCTGTTGAAAGATCCCCCTTGCTGTTACTCATACTACTCCAGATCACGTATCTGGATGAGTATTACTTGACAAACTATGAGATTGAGATCCTGAAGAAGTCCTCTGCAGAGATCGCCAGTCAGATCCCTGAGGGCTCCATGGTGATTGAGCTGGGAAGCGGGTTGGTCAATTTCCCCATGATTTGAGACATCAACTAATTATGAGAAAGAAACCTCCGCAAGGTCTGTCTCCTTCTACAGGCGTTCGAAGAGCTTAGAAAGCCCATTCAGTATTTTGCTCTCGACTTATCTCTCAAAGAGCTTGAACGCACCCTGGCTCAGGTTCCTGACTTCAAATATGTTTCGTGCCACGGCCTTCATGGTACCTACGATGATGGGAGGGAATGGCTCAAGCATCCTTCTCTCACGAGCCGCTCAAAGTGCATTATCCACCTCGGCTCCAGTATTGGTGCGTCTACACCGGTCGTTCAAGTTTCAATGTGCTAACGTGAGAATTACAGGCAACTTCTCCCGAGACGGCGCAGCTGATTTCTTAGGAGGGTTTGCAGAAGTACTCACACCATCTGATTCCATGATCGTTGCTGTAGACTCTTGCAGCAACCCGGCACAGGTCTAGTAAGTCAACGATGTTGCTTGTTGTAATCAATACTAACATCCGTATAGTCATGCATACAACGGTACGTTGCAATTCAGCGCTGAGCACACAACTCGATATTAATGCCGCAGTTCTCTAATACAGACTCCAAGGGGGTAACCCATCAGTAAGCTGATTGGTTCTGTCTGGTTGACTGGAAACTGACATCATGTAGATTCATTCTGAATGGTCTTCGAAACGCCAATGAGATCCTTGGTGAAGAGGCCTTCAACACGGATGAGTGGAAGGTCATCGGTGAGTATGTCTATGACGTTGAAGGTGGACGACACCAGGCCTTCCTTTCTCCCACCCGGCCAACAGATGCTCTCGGATCGAGAGTTTTGCCTCATGAGCGCATAGAGATCGAACAAAGCCTCAAATATTCCGAGGAAGAGAAGGACAGGCTCTGGAAACTTGCAGGCTTGACCGAGATGGGTCAATGGAGCCGGGGAGATGAGTATGGTAGGTCACATTCTCTTATGATACATGTCCCACCCAAAACACGCGATCAGAGGCCTTTCGGGTCATGCATCCCCGGATTACCCCGCGAATCGTACCAAAGGAGGGTTTCCCTTTCCAGCTGAGCCAGCAGCATGAGGCCAAGCTCGGGAAGGGACCCATATGACGTGGGGGTACATGCTCCAAGCTGAAGTTATATCGAGAATACAGGGAATCTGATGACACGAGACTAACAATTGTTTAGGCCTCCATTTTCTGCAAAAGTCCAGTATGCCGTTCAGCCTGATCCCTTCCCTCTACGCCGCAGAACCACTGCCAACAGTCCAAGACTGGAAAGCACTTTGGCAAGCATGGGATGTAGTAACCAAGGATATGATGCCGGATGAGGAGCTCCAGGAGAAGCCAATCAAGCTGCGAAATGCATGCATTTTCTACCTTGGCCATATCCCGACCTTCCTCGATATCCAGTTGACAAAAACCACTGGCAATGCCCCGACTGAGCCTGCAGCCTACTACTCAATCTTTGAGCGAGGTATTGATCCTGATGTGGACAATCCTGAGCACTGCCATACTCACTCTGAAATTCCCGATGAATGGCCATCAGTTCAAGAGATCATGACCTACCAAGACAGGGTCAGATCTCGTCTTCAGAACCTGTACAAAAATGGCCAAGACAAGATTCCTCGAGACATTGGCCGAGCTATATGGGTTGGTTTTGAGCATGAGTTGATGCATATCGAGACTCTGCTCTATATGATGCTCCAAAGTGACAGAACACTTCCACCTCCGCATACGGTACAGCCTGATTTTGCAAAACTGGCTCAGCAAGCACATGAGTCTAGGGTTCCTAACCAATGGTTTGATATACCTGAGCAAACCATCATTCTGGGGATGGATGATCCCGAGGATAGTACTGATAATTCGCGCCATTTTGGCTGGTAAGTCTGAAGCGGTATGCTTAAGGGTAACCCGTAACTAACTTTATTGAACAGGGATAACGAAAAGCCTGCGCGACAGACAAAAGTCCATGCCTTCCAAGCTCAGGGCAGAGCTATCACCAATGAAGAGGTATGTCCAATTCGTCTTCGAGGTGTCCTCTAGCCCTAACCAAAGTCACAGTATGCCCAATATTTGTACAACTCCAAGATCAAACATATCCCAGCCTCATGGTCTTCCATTCCAAACGCTCACACAAATGGCGCCACTAACGGCAGCCAAACTAATGGAAATTCGAATGGCTACTCTAATGGAAATGGCCACCACGCAAGCCAGGTCCCGGATTCATTCATCCAGGATAAGTTTGTCAGGACGGTCTATGGTCTAATTCCTCTCAAGTACGCTCTTGACTGGCCTGTCTTTGCTTCTTACGACGAACTCGCTGGCTGTGCAGCATGGATGGGCGGCCGTATTCCAACTTTCGAAGAAGCTAAGAGCATTTATGCGCACGTCAACAAGCAGAAGAGAGCCGAGGCCGAGGGCACCTTATCAAAGACGGTCCCTGCAGTCAATGGGTAAGTCCATCAAAATCGTTTACTATTTCAAGGCTAATAAGTGACAGTCACCTTGTCAACGACGGCGTTGAAGAGACCCCGCCATCCAGCACCTCCGCTTTGGTCAAGGATGGCTCTTCTGAGCTTTTCTTTGACCTTACGGAAGCCAACGTTGGTTTCCGTCACTGGCATCCTATGCCAGTAACCTCCCGAGGCAACAAGCTTGCGGGTCAGTCAGAGATGGGCGGCGTCTGGGAATGGACGAGCTCGCCACTTGAGCGACATGAGGGTTTTGAGCCCATGTCGCTCTATCCTCTCTACACGACTGACTTCTTTGATGGCAAGCATAACATTGTCTTGGGTGGTTCGTGGGCCACACACCCACGCATTGCAGGTCGAGCTAGTTTCGTCAACTGGTATCAGAGGAACTATCCCTACGCATGGGTGGGAGCCAGATTGGTCCGAGATGTTTAGGCATCGACCATAGCATTTGTTGCTTTATATACGAATAGTTTCATATTATAAACGAGCCGTTGGGATGGATTGTGAACTGCCGGAGTTTGATCATTTACATAGGCCGAGATTGCCATAAGAGGAGTCTGAAGGAGGACGGTCACTCCCTGAGAAAGCAAATGTATTATCATGCCCCATCTCTATTTACTCCTATGTTTTGAACTCCATACCGAAACCAGCTACTCTGTGATGATAGCAAATGTTGTCTCTCGCAATGTCGTGACTTTCGGATCAACCGTTATGTGTATCCGTTCCAATTTAAGGGTGACACTTGTGAAATTAGCCATGCATGCTAAGGAGCTTTCTCCTGTCCCAAAACCGTCATGAGCTCATATTTCGTGATGTCTCTTGATAGTAGCGCAATCGTCCCAAAGAGTGAGGCGCTGAATGAAAACACACCATTCTGACTCTTACATTAGAATGGGCGCGGGGCTGCGAGTGCTTTGACTGTTTCTCTCAACCGTTGAGACTACCATAGATATCGAGAAGCTGCTCAAACACATAGCCAGGAAGCTTAATCCCATTCTCTGTGATGAGTTTTGAAATGAGGTCAGGGGGCTGTTTAACTTGTTAGCAACTTGATCGATGGCTATAATTTGGGGACCACATACAGTAAAGTCGACAGCGTCGACTATATCCTTACTCTTGTTATCAACACTGAAGTCCAGGATTTCCTGCTTAAAGCCAATATCCCGTTGATCCATGACAAATTTGCGCGCAAACTTGTGTGTCTCGGCAGCAACGTAAAACGGGAGACCAGCTTGAGCAGCCAGCTTAGAAAGCTGAAGAGTACCCATTCGAGAGATGATACCGCCGTTGGATGTGACAGCTTCAGCGCCCACAATCACCATATCGACCTGGCGCAGAAGACCCATGACATAGGCCACTGAAGCCTCTGCGATTTCGGCAACAGGAATACCCTTTGAGCGAAGCTCGCGCACTATGCGATCACTCTCTTCAACGCGGGTTTCCTCTCGCACGTAGATAACCTTGAACTTGGCTGCACCGAGGTTCTGCACCGCACGCTCCAGAATACCAACAACTGATCGCGAGGCACCGTGTGTGAGAATACATTGGCCCTCATGAATCAGCCTCCATCCTGAGTCTGCAATGCCTTCTCGCGCGGCATTAGCACGCTGGGCAAATAGGCGACCGTTTCGGAGAAGATGTTGCCTCACGGCCTCAAAGCTGCCATCCTGTTGACGGAGAGACGAGACGAGGTACTGAAGAAAGAGATCTGTTCCGGCAGAAAGGGGTACGGGGTTCGCAACGGAGGCTTTGAGACGATCGGAGTGCGCTTTGACTGTGTCGAGGATCTCGAAAACGGTGGTGGAAGGGTGGGCGTTGAGAAGAGCGATTAGGGACTCGATGGCGGCGACGGGCTTGGTAAGGTATGGGTCTGAGGCGAGAAGTCCGCGGTAAGTTTCGACGATACTGGCAGACTGTTAGAGGAGTGGGAAACGGATGGGTTTGGAGACGGACTCGAAATCTGAGGTTGAAGAAGCTTGAGGTTGCTCAGCCGGGGTAGCGGCTTGGATAAGTTAGCAGGGAGACAGGTATTCGCAGTAGAGAGTAGCTGACCTGTTGTGTCGACTGTAGCCATGATAGAGAGTACGCAAGATATCGGGGAGTAGGTATTTGGAGTTGAGATGATACTGTTCCCAACCCTGGGATCTTTAGACGGGAATTTTCGAAGGGTTTGGTGAGTCAATCAATCTCCATGTCGGAGCTGGTTTGGCGGGGTGAAGTGGGGAGCGGGGCCGAAAGTGACGGCACTGCTTAATTACAGGTCGTTTACAGTTGAGGTCCCCTGTAGTCGCGCCACCTCAGATGATCGAGAAGCGTAGGTAGCTCTGATGTGCAGTAGCAAGCAGCCTTCTCGATGGAAACAGATCAAATTCAGGCGGCTCAGATCGAAATATAGTGTTAGTTTCGTCTGGAAATAAGGTCAGCCACTTGCGTTGCATCGTTCAGTAACGTGCTGTAACCTGTTGATATCGAGAGGTCGCCACTGAGTTGACTACCCTGCAGCAGAACCCCGAACAAAAGTGCCCCGCGCTGCCCCTCCACCGCTTCCGATCTCTACACCCCTCTCTCCGTCTTCACTCCAGACCTCTATAGCTTTTGATCTTTGACTTTTATTCGCTTCCACTGCAACAACTCAATTCACTTAAGGACCAGCATCTACTAGTCACAAACGATAAACATAGCTAAGAATGGAGCTCCTCGATCCCGCCACAGGCGCTGCCCTCCCCAACGACGCCATCCAGCGCATTCTCTTCGTCGCCAACGCCGTCCACGTCTATAACATTCCTCCTCTTACCTCTACAAAGGGCTACTCTGCCAGCACATGGACCGCCGAACCCCAGCGCCATATCTTTACTGCCCGCCTGCGCGTCGTCGAGACAGCCTACGAATCCGAGTCGTCAACCAACAAGCTCAAAGTCGATGCCGTGCTGGAGGATGCTTCATCAGGCCAACTGTTCGCCGCAGCGCCTTATACCGCTCCCGGTGTTGTTGAGCCGGTCCTCGATAGCAGCCGATTCTTTGCAGTGACGGTGCGCGATCCCCAGGGTAGAAAGGCTATCCTGGGTATTGGTTTCGAGGAGAGAAGCGAGGCGTTTGATCTGAGCATTGCGCTTCAGGAGGCGCGAAAGGCGCTAGGCTGGGAGGGCGAACAGAGCAAACCGGCTGCGACGAAGGAGAAGGAGGAGCATAGGGATTACAGTCTCAAAGATGGCGAGACTATCACTGTGAGCTTTGGCGGATCAAAGTTCGGCAGACGCAAACAACAAGATAGCTCATTTGGCTCAGGAGCCGGAGGTGACCTTCAGTCATTTGCGCTACCACCACCACCTGCTGGACCAAGCTCTTCAGGCGGGTTCTCATTACCACCTCCACCAAGTGCAAACTCTGTAAAGCAGCAGAAGCAATCAGCTAAGGATCTTGGATTTGACGACGGACAGTTTGGAGAGTTTGCTTAAGGATTTCACGGATAATTGGTGCATCAGCGATATGATTTGAAAAAGAAAACAAACAGTATATACACTAAGACGTGCTAAACTTTGAACGCCAAATTGATGCTACCAATGGTAAGTGACATGATGATAACTTGATATTATGGATCGACATGTATGATCATTCCGTGGTTTTGTATGATGCTTGAAAAATCAACACACTATCCGGCAACGCCTTTCAATTGTGCACCGATGAGCCTAAACCTCAGGCCAAGCATTATGAAGACAGGGAAGACTAAGCCTCCTCTCCCTAAGCGCAACAAACCGCTCCTCACTCAACTCTTCTCCAAGTTCAGAACCATAGTCCTTCTCCTGAACGAAGGGCGCAACAACATCAGTTGGAGTTACTGGGGTGGTCTCGGACTCAGCGCTATCGCAGCTAGATTCAAGACCAAATATATCCTCTGCGGTCTCGTCGACAGTTTCCAGACCGTACGGCGTCGGCTCCTGTTGAATATATGGTGGTTCATAGGCCTGCTGCGCATCGCCGAAGTAGCCCATAGGGGCAAAGTGCTCAGAATTGCCGCTCAGAGGCGTCAAAGGAGTGGTGAAGCCGTAGGAAACGGGACTGAAGCAGACGGATGATGCGACACTAGGGCTTTCGACAGTCCATGTTTTTGCCCAAGTCTCTCGGCTCCTGATTTCAACAAAGAGTTCACCCAGGCGGGAGAAGATAGCCTTCTCCTGTTCAGCGGCCTGGTTGGCCTTAGACTTTAGCAGAGCTAGCTGTTTTCTCAGCCTTCGCCGACCATTGTCACCAACAAGGCTGCGAAGCTGCGCTTCCACGGTGCCATACTGTGTCATGAGTTCTGTAGCCCGGCAAGCCTGCTGTTGAAGACATGAAATAAGATATGCTCGATCTATATAAAGATCTTCAAAAGGCCTAGGCGAAAAGATAAGACGAGAGTTGGCATAGGGCTGTTGATTAACACTCTCTGGTGTAGGACGGCTTTTGGAGCTGGAAGATCGTCGACGTCTCCTTCGTGAAGAAGAACTGCAAACCGACGGTGTGTCTGGGTGTGGTGTATCTGGAAGGGATTGAGGTGAAAGTGGGAGGATAGGGCATGCTTGTAGCTTGGGGATAGCAATATTTAGCTCCTCGGGGGGTGGAGTGATTCTTGCATCCATTGGTGGTAGCTGTACCATGCTATGAGCTTTTGTAAAAGTCGTATTCATCTTGATAGATTTGAATTTTTGTTAATGATAGTAGGAAAGAAGGAATGTTCTCTCTGAGAGAAACAGCATCCATCATTACTAGATATTCATATCTCTCATCCTCCATTTCCTCTCCACCGTGGACAAAGACCGCTGTGAGGAGGGCTACACTGTACGTGATGGGTCTGTTCGCTTTGTCGCTGTGTTCGCCTCAACAAAGCGAAACAGCGAGTTCCGGCGCTTGACCTAGTGATTCTTTAAAAGAAAGTTCTTCTAGTGACAGTCGTTGGTTATTCTGATGGATCCGTGCCTGGTGGCCACACCTAAAAGAGTCACCAACGTAAGCCGTCAATAAGACTGGTCAGTCTTGGCTTTTGGAGGTTGTTCGGTTGGCAGTCAGGAACATGAAGGAGAGGTCGTAGGGTCTAGAACATCAGGTCATCTGGTTTGCCTTCGTTCCACGTAGTTGAATAAGGTAGCCAAGCCAATTGCTTGTTCGGACCAGGAGGTGGCGTTGTTAGTCCCCGTTGTTGGCTTAGATTGACAGCCTCATAGCAAGGTTTGATTCATTTGCAGTGCAGCCCAACAGTCAAATGAGAGGCGACTTGCTTCTCATCAGATTGCAAACCCATCGTGGCCCGGTGGGTCGTTGAACCGCCATAGCCCAGCCTCTTCTGCGGCTTTCCTGACTGAGGAGACTTCCTGGGCATTGACAGCTCGGTTGATGTCTGCGTATCGGACCTCCTGCTTTTCTTCTTTGCCGTCTGACTTTGCTCGCTTTGGTTTGCCGACATGGGCGTCTGGGTGATACTGCTCCATGATGTTGATAAAGCAATCTGTAGAGACTTCATTTGCGAGGAACTTCATGATTTCGGCTCCTTCGTCCTGTTTGCCTGGCATAACAAGATGGCGAATCAGCAAGCCCTTTTTTGCTATCCCGTCCCCGGTGAAGCACAGGTCACCGACCTGAGCGTGCATCACCTTAATGCTCTCTCTGGCTGTTGCAGCGTAATCATCGGCCTTCAGTAGCCTTTTAGAGGTGCTTGGCTTCCACACCTTGAAGTCAGCAAGGTAGATATCGACCAATCCATCCATCAGCTGCAGGGATGCAAGAGAGTCAAAGCTTGATGTGTTGTAAACGATGGGAACTGTCAGACCGTGGTCCCTAGCATGGAGGATACTCAACGCCACCTGCGGGACAACATGCTCAGGCGTAACAATATTGATATTGTGTACTTTGCCAACTTCCTGTAGCTTGATGTACCAGTCACCTAATTCCTCAGGGGTCAGGTCCATTCCGTTTCGTTGATGTGCGATATCGTAATTCTGGCAAAAGATGCACCGCATATTACATCCGCTCATGAAGACGGAACCACTACCATTGTGCCCTTGAATGCACGGTTCTGTATGATTTTAGTCAGAGGTTGAATAGAAGAACATGATACATAGCTAACAGAGAGCTAATGAGCTGAGATGCAAGGGAGTATCAGGTACAGCGAGCCGAGAGCAAAGCGCAATGGGCAGCAGATTGACTGACCTTCACCAAAGTGGGGAGCGATTGTATTGACTTTCGCCTTCTCTCCGATGAGGCACATGCCTGTCTTCTCGTACCTGTTTACGCCACATTCTCTTGGACATAGATTACAATTGCGAAGGTGAGCATACGCCAATGAACGCTTCTTGGCTGCGTCGCGGGAACTGAGTGTCATGTATCGCGGAACATAGTCGTCAAGGAGGAACGGGGGAGCAAGATGAAGAGAGCGATTGAGTATCTTGGAAGCTATGAAGGTGGTTTTGGGAGCATTAACAACCCATCGCCTTGACAATGACAACATCATGGCTGATATCGTGTATTGATGATCATGGTGACAATTGGTTCATCTTGATTGGTGTTGAGGGAGGTTGCATTTATATATGGCTTAGTCATCGCTTCTCCAGATGATGGAAGGGCAGTCACGAATGAGCAATCTTTCGGTTATCTCCCGAACCAGTTCCAAGAGAAGGTGGTTCTATGCACTTTTATCCTGAATAAAGTACCTTAGGCAACATCGAGGATGTTTCGCACTTGTTATTTGCTCTAGGTCTCTAGGAGCAGCGTCTTGAGCCAAGTGATTACCCTACAACTAACGGGAGACAATAAATGAATCAAATGGCCACGAGAAACTTGAAACGCAGGAATATCTACTCTGGAGGAGTACGTAAAGCTCTCAGGGTTTTTCTCCAAGTGTAAAATATCTGAGCTTTCTTGTTGGGTGAGGACCCCAAGTTTGTCATTGTTCAAGCGCTAGGATCTCGACTTTGCCAACTGTCTAAACATGGAGATCTCATCAGAAAATAATTCAGTGTAAACCAGCCGAAAATGCTGAGCTGTGCAACCAGAAAGTAGAATCTCCAAAGGCCAAAGAAAAATGAGGAATGTGAATGCCTTGGTATACCGGCGAGTTTAGCATGGGCATGAGTACTAGTTCTATCCCCAATACAGAGATCATGACACTGCGATCCCACCTTATTATTTGTAGACATACACGAGGGATGAAAGAAGGATTTGGCCCCGTTTAGGACTTCTCCCCTGTTAGAACTTCCATCCTATTTCTTAGAGATAAGATCTGAATGAGTTCCATCTGGTGGTTGTCTGCCAGTGGCAGATCCCCATAATGATTGGAGTGTTGGAAATACCTGTATTCACAAGCTGGGTTTGTTTGTTTACTCTTCCATTTCGAATGAGGTGGCGAGTTTACCGAAGAGCAACTCCTCGCAGCATCTCGAACATTGCCTCGGCTCACTCAACATCTTCTCGTAATCAGGTCGCCTGAAATGCTTTTCGGAAACTTCTGGTTGGCCTTTCTGGTCCTTTTCTTTCTTCCCTTAGCTGAAGGCCTTCATGTAACCCCAGACATTTCAGATGAACAGCTGCGTAATGTCTACGACTACATCATCGTTGGAGGTGGTACCGCTGGTCTAACCATAGCCAATCGCCTCTCCGAAAACCCAGCAGGTACTTGATGCCCATCGACTTGACGAGCCTCACTGATGGTGCTTGTAGTTTCGGTCCTGGTTCTCGAAGCTGGTCCTTTGTACGTCTCTCGCAACCCACCAGATCTAAACTGACAAATCGCATTCCAGGGACGACGCGAGAAATCTTTCGATTCCTGGAGGCCTTCTTCCTGTCCCAGGCACGATCGGGTCAGGTGGATGGCAAAAATACCAATGGGGGCTGACCACTGAGCCCCAGACCTATCTCAACAATCAGAGTGTGGGAATACCACAGGGAAAGGCTGTTGGTGGCAGTTCCATCCTCAATGGCCTCTGTTGGTCCAGAGGCTCAGTGTCTGATTATGACGGCTGGGAAAAATTGGGCAACAAGGGTTGGTCTTGGGATGACCTACTTCCTTACTTCAAAAAGGTAGGTGTGTAACCAACCTTTGAGAACGAGGCTGATTTGTGGTAGTCTGAGACGTTCACCTTCAATGTTGAGCCTCATGATGCCCAGGAACTTCACATAGTTCCTCAATCAGCTGCGCATGGACACAATGGCTCAGTGCACGTCTCCTACCCTCAGTACTTCTATGACCAATCATGTAAGTCCTGTACACTGCCAAAGCTTTGCGTGTACTGACCAGAGAACAGCCAACGTTCTCGACGGCTTTGCTGAGCTTGGTCTACCCATAATTGGTGATGTGAACAATGGGACAGCCGCAGGGGCCATGATCCTCCCCTCAAGCATGCATCCTGATAACCAGACGAGGTTCGATGCTAGAGAAGCTCACTTTGACTCGGCATCTTTGAGGTACAATTTGCACGTTGCAACCAACCAGACTGTCACCCAACTTGTTTTGGATAGCAATGGTGCACACAACTCGAGTCAGAGAGTTATGGGAGTCGAGGTACGATCAGGTGATACAAAAGATGAGGTGGTCACTAATCCAGATTACAGTTTGCTCCAAACAACAAGTCCAAAGCGAGATCAGTTTCTTGTACCCGAGAGGTGATTGTTTCGGCTGGTGCGATCTTCACTCCCACTCTACTTCAGGTATCGGGAATTGGGCCGTCAGATGTACTCAAGTCACTCGACATTTCGGTCAAGATTGACCTTCCTGGCGTTGGATATAATCTTCAGGATCATCCCATGGTTTACGCCAACTATTACTGTAAGTACCTGACTTCAATCAGATGTCGGATACTGATGGTCTAGACCGCAATGAATCATATTTCACTAGTGGTGAGATAACCGACGACGTGTATGATGAAGTTGCCGAGGCCTATATACGGAACAGAACAGGTGAGTTCACATTGATGAAATAGATACCAGTTTCTGACAAGTTCAGGTCCTTGGACAGCACCTCTCATAAACACGGTTGCATTCCCGAGTCTTCGATCTGCAACAGACGACTGGAAACAGTCCATGAACAAGAGTTTGGGGGATAATTTTCCCTCAAATATCCCCAACTCTGTGAAGAAGGGCTACGAAGTCCAGAAAAAGATTCTACAAGATCAAATACTCAGCAATGATACAGGAATCTTTGAGACCATGGCCAACTCGTAGGGGCAGTTGACTGTCGCTGCTCAAAAGACCTTCTCCCGCGGCACCGTCCGTCCCTCATCATCTTCAATCTTCGATCTGCCAAAACTGGACCCACGATACTGCTCCGACCTGATAGATTGCGAGATTATTGTTCTTGGTCTCCAAATGAACACGAAGCTGATCCAAACCAACGCCATGAAAGAACTCATGCCTGAAGCGGAATCGGCGTTTGACACTACAGATCATGAGACGCTGATGAAGCATGTCATGGAAAAGATCACGACAGAGAGACATCCTTCAGGAACAGCAGCAATGATGCCTATTGAACTGGGAGGAGTTGTTGACCCTGAGCTCATGGTGTATGGCACATGTAACTTGCGTATTGCTGATGCTAGTATCATGCCCCTGATTCCATCAGCCCATCTACAAGCTAGTGTCTATGCCATTGCTGAGAAGGCAAGATTCCAATAGTTAATGGAGACGAACTAATACTGACCACTGAAGCAGGCAGCAGACATGATTAAATCAGCCAAACCAGATTGTCGTATTGGAGAACGGCTTCCTTTCCCTCCCAGGTCGCAACCAACCACATGATAATATCCTCATACTTGGATAGCACATAGAGATCAAATCAATAAAGATTTTGGTATTCTAGTTATCAGGGATATATTCTTCACATCAGACCTGAGGCCTTTTGGGCGAAATGGCCATAGATTGCGAATTAGACAACGTAATGACAATGCAGCAATTCTGCCTATCCCCGTATGCTCAATAGAGCGAATCGACCAACGAATGGAAATAAAAGTAAGGCTAAAATATTTGTAGATAAATTGTGCATATATAAGACTGTATTTCTCCATCTAGCCAGCTTCTTATCCGTCAGACTTCAACACGAATCCCGGAAGTCAATTGACAATAAAGAAAACCATCCTTAATCCTGTGGTTCATTCTCAACAGTTTCCGTGTGCTTTTCATACCAAGCCAACTGATCAGTCATGCGCTTGATCTCTGAATTTTGAACAGCCAGTTTATCCTTCATCTCAGCCATCTCACGAACCAGAAACTGATTCTCAGACACCAACTTGTCCGCTCTCTCCAGACGCTCTTTGTTCTTTGCCTCAATGGCAGACACCCGCTCAGGCCATGTTGGAGTCACGATGGATACCACGGCAGGTCTCTCCTCCATGAGTCGTGTGCTCTCCACGCCAGGATGCTGCTCGGCTGCTGGTATGACAAAGAGGGGAGACTGATGCCCCTTGCCCTTGATGCGGTAGAAGCGAGTTAGAAGATCTATGGGAACAATGCCTTTGGCGTAGACTTTGCCCCCTCGTTCTTCGTTCCAGATTCGTTCGCCAATGACACCGCTTGCCTTCCAGATCTTCTCCTTCTGCTCGACCTGAGCTTCGGCAACATCTATAAGACGGTGGATGTAGCTTCTGATGTCTTCGCCGCAGTTCACGAGGATGTACTTATCCTGAGGATAGACAATCTCACGACCCCCTGAAACGCCATCGGCACCGGCGCGGCTCAGCATCTGCTGCGGGACGACGGCTTCTCCTTTAAGGACATCGGTAGCGTTGGCATAGTTGATTTCGAGTTCGTGTATACGACCGACGAGATGTTGGTGATGAAGAATCCATTGACCAAGAAGACAGTTTCGAGCAGCTTCGAGTTGCGATTCTCTCAGAGGATGGTTCTTTTTCTTATCATCAGGGTCTTCGAAACCAGTTGGAAGAATCGACATTAAGCCGCCAGTAGATGAGTACTCGTGATCGATGATCTCAAGACACTCGTTGGCATGCATGATGAGATCGTGGTGCGACATATAAGGACGACGAATATCTCCCTCCTTGGCCGAAGGACCAAAATCCTCAACCTGTGTCAAAGGACAACGGTGTTCGATCCCGTGCACTTCGGACTCAGACTTGACGACATTGTGAAGAGCAAAAAGAGGGTCATGGTGAGACGGGTCATCGTTCTCATAAGGAGTATTGAGGTCGTTCAGCCAGTCAAAAGCCTCGTTCTTGTGGAAGATCCATCTTTCGGGATCGACCTCCCCCGTGCCTACCGGACGAGTGGTAGTAGACGGAGCAAGCTTGCGGATGATATTGGTCAGAGATTGGGCATGCTGCTTGAGGGCTAGAAGGGTGGGAGGACGGCCGGACGAGAAATAGGAACAGTTGATGTGCTGTAGAAGTTCAAGGTCTTGAGGGTCTAAGATGCCATTGTCTGGGGTGAACCAGTTGGATCTGTAGGAAGTTGCATAATCGTTGGAAGGGACGTAGAGAGGTTGGGTGCCCTCCTTCTGCTTTCCAACTGCTCGCAAAGATACCATCGTGAAGTAGAATACAGGTGTTGGCACAGAGTGATAAGAGGGTTACAGGTCGATGGAACAGAGGTTTGAACAGGAAGACTTTTCTTTGAGAGAATGATGAGTATATCTATTCTTAAACAGACTTAAAGAAATATCTCTAGGGTTCTGTCACAATGTTGGCGCCCGTAGGGCCGGGTGATTGATGTGATGCTATTCAAAGAACAAAGAAACCAGTTCTTTGTTGGAAGTGCAATTTGCTGTGGGACGCATAGACATTGTTTGAGCAATCAAAAGACTCGAAAAGAGTCAAATTGTTCCTTTCTTTGTCTTTATGGTAAGATGCTATCGGATGAGGTACTTGGAGATTCAAAAAGACAACAACCTTATCGTTCACAAATCTTGGTCAACTGTAGAGTATCAAACGTTTGTCCAAGAATCATAAATATCGATAGATAATACATATCTCCTCATAAACTAGTTTGTCTTGAATGGATCTACTCTTGTTGGCGAGCCACAGTCGACATGAATGAAGCGTGAACCCATGCTTCCATATCCAGCCGGGAGTATTGATCTACGAACCTGTCATTTCGCTCCCTCTGCTAGAGAGCACGCTGGCATCTCGGCTAACGTTCCAAGATGGTACAACAGTAAAAAGTTGGGTCCTCACACAAACATCTGTTCATGGTTGTACATAGAGAGCATAGTAGCTTTGCGTGCACTAGGAGCTCGCCTCTTTATGCAGGGTCGAGTGCTGCATTTCTGATACGTAGCCGAGGGAATGTAGGCTTCATCAAGGGCAACTTGGATTCAGACCATTCTTTGTGTTCCAAGCCCGATTCCAGGCCTCAATCAACAACGGTTCGTTACCCAAGGTTCTCTACGATGAGACTTGACATACTTTGTATGCACGGCAACAGTTGAGGCAGCCATACGCCGAGTAGATCAGGAATGTTTAAGCAAACAGCCACAAGGTGAAACACAAATGCCGACGTTCAGATCCTAAGGACAACCAAGGGATTGTCGCCGATGGTCGTACGGCATGTGCACACGTGACTGTGCTTGAGTTAGACAAAGGGCTGTGCACTCAAACGGCCTCGTCTTGACTCTCAAGACGAGTTCCAGACGGGAACAACGTTTTAGAGCAGTCCGTAATAGTGACGCAGCCATGGGAGGCCCAATTTATGAAGCCGCAATATGCTTTGTTAGGCGACGTTTGCGGTAACGGCCATGGCGGCCCTGCAAGCAAAGCAAAGGAAAGCCAAAAATCGAGGGAGACATGTGGGAATTCAATAAATTCATGTCAGAGGAGATCTCATTGGTCAAACTGCGACATCTTGAAGGTTGATGCGTCAAGATAAAATTACAGGCACGTACCTCGGCCCAGTCAGTGCCAGTTTGAGAGTGAGAGCTTGACGCCAGACCAGACCATTTCAGCTGAACCAGCATCATCTTAATTGCGCTAGGACCAGATGAAGTATGGCGCATACCTTTGTGGAGAGTCTAGCCTTTGGAATGAATGATTGACTGGGGTACGTGGATGAAGTTGCGATCGTAGTATTTTCGTTCTCAGATCTTGAGGCCAGTTCTGAAGAAATGACTGCTGTGTCTATCTCTATCGCCAAGCGGTGAGAGAGTCATGATGTCGTTGAAGAGATTCAAAGACATCGATGGGCATCAACCTTGACAGACTAAAAGAACAAAGGATGGTCTAATGATCAAGACAGGGGCACTGAATGGAGCGACTCTTGCTCAATGAACAGTAGTGCGATGATCAAAAGAGATAGCCAAGTAAACAAACCAATGGAGCTCACAAGGTAATTATGATCGCAGATACAGTGACTGCACTGTAAGTCAGATCGTCATGAAGCTACCGTTACGGGGAGACGTGATTTGACTTGGAGATCGGGGGAAGAATAAAACGAAGCTAATGTAGTTGATGTCATTGGCGTCGAGGACGGGACTGGATGTTCCGAAGTGAGGGAGTCAGTTGGGCTTGTGATGAATTGAAATGGTAGCGCCACGGGAATGAGAATGAGAATTAGAATGAGAGAGTCTCAAAAAGGTCGCGGAGATTTCCAGTCTTGGCAAACACTCCCAAGTCCTAAAAGGGGAGACGATTAACATTCCGATCCGGATCGTCACTGGGGTTGATTCATTGACTTTTGACAGAGACAGAGTGTTTGTGCTCATCATGCCCGCTAACTCGATGGCGGATGGGTTCAATGATTGTGGTTGCGGATGTGGTGTTGATGGTTGATGGATGCATCTGACATCACAACATCCAGATAGAAAGTCGATCCCTGTCAAGCTGTCTCGCCTCTGTCGTGTGTGCGTGTAGTGTATGTGTAGGTATGCATGCATGGCAACACGGGAGAGCGTCGTGGCTGTGCCTCTGTTTGATCGAGTGTAGAATCGACAACAGTAGCTGAACTCGACAGTCAAAAAGACGTTGATGCATGATCTAGATCGAGGCCGAGATACTCGTGAGGCACAGAATAGCCAAGTCTAGACTTGAGATGCCGTAAAACATCGGCAGCAGCCTCACAGACTCACCTCTGTTACAGCCCAAAGGTCTTTTTCGGCTCCCTCATTTTGTCTTGTCTCCCTGGCAGCCCCCTGTCCGTATGCCCGTGCTTCATGAACTGAGGCATCGCATCACGCAGCACCAAATCAACATTAGTGAGCGTGACTATTTACAGTAGCGCAAGGGCAGCGGGATGAGGTGTCCAGGTCGCAGCGGATAGTGGGTTTGTCCCGTAGCCAAGCTTCAACAGCCGAAATTGAGGAGGAGGATTGATTTCGTACGCAGGCCCTGACCCTTTTGGAGATTTCCAGAAATAAAGTTTTCGGGGTGACAATGGGATCATGAATTACTCTTCAGAAACAGGGTCTTGTTTTAGAGTATCATTTTTCGTATTTGCCCAGCCCATCAATTACCATTCGTTTCAAATCGCATGCGTATTGCACAAGTTTTACCGGTTTCTCGTTTTACTGTCACCGTGCTATCGTCCGGGATCAAAGCGTCCATACCTGCAGACTATCAGTTTGCATTCGGAGAAGGGCAGTGATTTGCAATGCCTTCCAAGGCCAGCTGTCCCAGGTTCCAGATAGAGATAGAGTGCCGGGGCCCTGGCCTCTGGCCTAGACCCTCCACTCCATCCATCTTCAATTACCGCTCGCTGATGATGGAGTGCACCAGAGAGCGATTGGCCAGTGTCGATCTAGCCCCAAACCAGGATTTGGCCTGTGTTTCCCAGCCTGCCAGCAGACCTTCAGGCACTTGGCGATGAGCCTGCAGGCTGGGCGCTACACTGTGACGTCGACATCAGCACCTTGTGCCATGCCAGCTTGTCAAGTCACCCTGACGTTGATGCATGGCATCACACCTTCACGCTGGATATCTTATGATAATATTCGTAGCAACTATAGAAGAAGCCAAGATGGAGGAATTCAAAAGACGGTATAAAGAAGCCATAATCCCTCCATGCTCAGGGGGAGCATAAATTGCAAGCAGCCGCGTTTTTTTCACTTCTTTTTCGCGATTCTCTGCTGTTTTTTGCTGGGCTGAGACATGACTTCACCTTGATTAAGGGGGTCCTCCTAGTGCTAAGCTTTTCGTCTTTGGTCGCATTTTGCACTACCACAAGCTACAAGCCTCCTCCCATTGGATTCACACACACCCACCCCTGACAACCTGAGCTGAGCTACCGTACCTTAGCCAACATCTGAGGAAACCAACTTTTTTTCCTGTCTAATCTAACTAAAGTATCTATTGACTGGACTGGATACGTTAATTACATATAGCCCGCCAGCACCATCCACCTTCTGTTCTACCTTCTTTCGAGTTTTCGTTCTTCATTCCTAATTTTGGTTGCAAGTGCGCGGATTCGATTGGAACGCGCCTGCCTCCCGTCTCAATCTAATCTATCGGCCACCCGCCCCCCGCCAACGGAAGGGTCAAGGTACAGTGCAGCTTGCGGTTCCTCCCTTGGGTTGCTGAGCTGTAGCTGGACGACGCGGCCCAAGTGCCAACTTAATTTCTTCGATTTCTTCCTAATAACTTCACTTCACGACCTTGTCGACGTTGCGCGTCGAATTAATCGAGTCGAGAACCAGCAACTGATTATAATCGCCCCAAGCAAGGGCTTATACCAAAACATCCACCCTCGACGTAGTTCAAGATAACTGCAATTGGACGGCAATCATGGGAAATTTCATCAGTTGGTTGGAGGATAACCTCCCTGCCCCCGACACGAGCAACTCGGGCGGTGCCAGAGGAACGCAGCCTCAATCCCTTTCGGGTACGTTATATAAATGAAAACTTCATAATGCGATGCGAACTAACAATTCTCAGGCATGGTTTCGACTCTCGTTCCCGTGCTCATAGTATCGGGAGTCTACCTCGTCGTTTTCCTTGTCTTTCGTAAGTCCAATAGGCGATTCTATGCGCCTAGGACGTATCTGGGCTCCTTGCGTGAGCAGTAAGTCGCAATGCGCTCCTGAAACTCTGAATATCAATTCTAACGCCTTTTGCAGTGAACGGAGTCCCGCGCTACCTAGTGGTTTATTCAACTGGATTGGAGCTTTTTGGAAGCTTCCCGATGCCTACGCTCTTCAGCACCAGAGTCTCGATGCATACCTCTTCATTCGATTCCTTCGCATTTGCTGCACCATCTGCTTCGTGAGTCTTTGCCTCACGTGGCCTGTTCTCTTCCCAGTCAATGCCACTGGTGGAAACGGAAAGAAGCAGCTTGAGATTCTCTCATACGCCAACGTCAACATTGACGATTCGACTCAGAGGAACAGGCTCTACGCCCACTGCTTCATTGCCTGGCTCGTTTATGGCTTTGTCATCTACACCATCATGCGCGAGTGCATCTTCTACATCAGTGTGCGACAGGCTTTCCTTCTTACTCCCCAGTATGCCAAGCGCATCTCATCCCGCACTGTTCTCTTCACTTCTGTCCCCAAGGAGTATCTCGATGAGGCCCGCATTCGCACTCTCTTCAACGACTCAGTCAAGAATGTTTGGATCCCCGGTGACACCAAGGACCTTGACAAGATCATCGAGGAGCGCGACGATGCCGCCATGAAGCTGGAGAAGGGTGAGGTCAAGCTCCTCAAGCTATGTAACAAGGAACGCATCAAGTCCATGAAGAAGTCGGGCACCGAAGCCGAGAAGACTGCCTCTGCCCCATCTGACCCAGAGTCCGGAGACCTCGCTGCCCGCTTCATCCCCCCTAAGAAGCGACCTACACACCGTACTGGCCCTCTGGGACTTATCGGCAAGAAGGTTGACACTATTGAATGGGGCCGTGAGGAACTCAAGACCCTCATCCCCAAGGCCGACAATGCTCAGGCTGACTGGCTCGCTGGCAACTATGAGAAGCACTCTGCTGTGTTCGTCGAGTTCTACACGCAATCTGATGCCCAGGCTGCTTTCCAGACTACCACCCACCACCACGCCCTCCACATGGCTCCTCGTCACATTGGTGTCAAGCCTGATGAGATTGTCTGGAAGAGCCTGAACTTCCCCTGGTGGCAGGTTATCATTCGCCGATATGTCGTCTACGCCATCATTGCTGTTCTCATCATCTTTTGGGCTGTTCCCGTTGCCATTGTTGGTATTATTGCTCAGGTCGACACTATCAAGACCCTTCCTGGTCTTACTTGGATCCAGGATATTCCCTCGGTCATTCTTGGTGTCGTCTCTGGTCTTCTGCCTTCCGTTGCTCTCTCCATTCTCATGTCATTGGTTCCTGTTTTCATGCGACTCTGTGCCAGGCAGGCTGGTTGTGTTTCTATCTCTCAAGCCGAGCTCTTCACCCAGAACGCATACTTCGTTTTCCAAGTTATCCAGGTCTTCCTGGTTCAGACTTTGGCAAATAGTTTCGTTTCGTCAATCGCGACAATTGTCAAGGAGCCTAGTCAGGTCTTCAGCATGCTGTCATCTTCCATCCCTACCGCCTCCAACTTCTACATCTCTTACTTCATTGTTCAGGGTCTAACCATCGCCGTCGGCGTCCTGACTCAAGTTGTTGGATGCATCATTTTCAACCTTTTGTACAAGTTCCTGACCAGCACACCACGATCCATGTACAACAAGTGGACTACTCTCAGTGCTCTCACTTGGGGAAGTCTTATGCCCGTCTACACCAACATCGCAGTCATTAGTAGGTAACACCTAAGCTCATATGTTGAACATAGCTAACCTTTCTCAGGCATCGTCTACGCTGTTATTGCACCTGTCATGCTCTTCTGGTCTACCATCGGTATGGGCTTGTTCTACCTTGCCTACCGCTACAACATTCTGTTTGTTACCGAGACCAAGATTGATACTAGAGGCCTTATCTACCCTCGCGCCCTCAAGCAGCTCTTCGTTGGTGTTTACCTTGCCGAGATCTGCCTTGTCGGCATGTTCATTATCTCCAAGGCTGCTGGCCCTGCTGTCTTGATGGCTGCCTTCCTTGTCTTCACCATCCTGTTCCACATCTCCCTCGCCAAGGCTCTTAACCCCCTTCTCTACAGCCTGCCTCGCTCCCTTGAGGTTGAGGAGGAGCGAATTCAGCGAAGCCTTCAAGGCTCAGAGTTGGAGGACGGACATGTCCAGAATGGAGAGGGTGCCGCTTCCAACGGTGCCTCCAACGGCGCTGGCAAGAGCAGCGGTGTTGGCAAGTTCGTGCCTGGCGGTACTGACAGTGTTCAAAAGAAGGGTAACTTCTTCTCCAAGTGGCTCAAGCCCTGGATCTATGCCGATTACGCAACTATGCGCCAGTTGGTGCCTCATGAGCGTAACATGGGACTCGAGTATCCTGAGGAGGTCGAGCGTGACGCTTACTTCCCACCTTCAGTCACAAGCGAGACACCTATCCTCTGGATCCCTGCCGATCCCGCTGGTATTTCCAAGCAGGAGGTGCTCAACACGAGCAAGGTGATTCCCATCTCAGATGAGGGTTGCACTCTCAACGACAAGAACCACATCGAGTGGGACACCGAGGGAGCACGACCTCCTATCTGGAGCGAGAAGATTTACTACTAAAGGTGGACATGATTTTGTTAGTGTGATTGATACCCAAACACATGCCAGCTATCAGGCTGTGTTGCTTTGAAGACGTGGGAGTGGTTGGAAGGAGATGATGGAGGATTGGGAAACTGAAGAAGGAAACGACAGTATTGGATTTGCGGATAGTTAAGACGGATATGTTATCAATTGTGTCATGACATTTTAGTATATCCTTGTAAGCAGTTGTTAGATCAGATGGTTACACAGTCAATGAATCCTAATTCTAATGAGTATTGCTTACGAGTCGGTGACTTGCATCAGTGAGTAGGAACAAGATAGAGTATGAAGATATCTCGAGCGAAGAGCATGGGAGATGATATGGCTTCACGATTCAATACTCAAGGTTGGCAATGCCCATAGCTTACTCGGACCCTGCCCAAACCAGATATGTCTAGTCCTGCATATCTTCTATCTAGATTTAAGGTTCCGCGATAGTTGATTGGGCAACTTGAAGTAGTATGATCTCTCCACACAGGATGGCCCTTACCTTGTAATTCGCAGTCGGGTTACAACTCGCCAAAGGATGGATGAGGCTTTTATGACTGAGCTATTGGTTCCAACTGAAACATGGGAACAAAGGGCACAATGTCAGCTTGAAAGCCGAGACATGTGACACATGGAGAACAAAGGGATTGATATTGGCATACAAAGAGAGAGAGGGAGGGCTTACGAGTGCAGATGGTTTGGTTGTTGGGGTGAGTTGATAGACGAAACAGGGATTTCCTTGATCGAATGGGCTTAGCATTAGGCCTGGAGCACCTACTAAACTTTACCAGGAAACGGATAGCGGTAGCCACAATTGAAGCCACAACCGCCATTGTCGTTAAAGCCGTGGATATTGTGGCCATTGGCGACAATTGTTTATGTCTGCAGTGATTGTTGGTTGTGGCACAATAGCGATAATAACAAACTACCTGATCAGTAAAGCTCAGCAGTTGAATACTGAAGTGTACTGCAGCTTTTAGCTGTGGCACTTCCACATGTGATAGTCTCCCTTGACAAAACCCATGTCCTTGTTCCCGTCCGTAGCCAACAAGGATCTAAAGAGCTCCCCTCCATCAGCTTCTGATGTGAGTGATGGTCCCACAAACCATGGTTGTCGTGCCAACGACCATCAACAATCACCTCGTCGAGCAGAAAGCGGCAAGTCATTCACATTCTCGCGAATAGGATCTTGGTTTTTAGCCCGGCTCTTGACAAGATAGGTCTAATCGCAAACCTTGCTTGTGTGATTGATTGATAGTACGATATTGACATTGGGCGATACGGCTCCAGATCCCGGATGCACTTGCCCTTACCTTACCTTACCTTACCTTACCTTACCTTCCCTACCTTGCTGCTGAGATCCCCTCATCCCTGCTCCTTCTCTTTACTTCTCTGCCTGTGCCTGTGCTCGCTTTCTTCCCGCTCAGATTCTCTCTTGACTCTCTGCTTGCTCTCCTACAATCCAATCTAAACCTGGACATCGACCCCATTCGTGGCCTGTTCTTGAGGCCTTTGCATTAGCATTATTAGCAGGTTTGGTCAATATTGAGTCTTGAACAAGGTGCGCATAGACCGAGACATTGCGCAGAGACCCTTGGGCATTCCTTCGTGTCGATCAGCAGAACACGTACGACTCTTTTGCACTGCAGATTCTCAGACTCTACACATACTCACAGTAGGGAAGTTAGGGGAAGTGAACAACTGCAAACAGATACCATCCAGCTTTCGAGCTACACGGTGATGGCCATGCTCTGAGCGCTCAGTACCATCGTCGGCGAGAAAACTACGCTTGGAAAAGCAACTGCGATTGCTTCGCCCATACCATTCGAATTAGCGAGTCATCTCAACTTCGCAGAAACCGCAATGACTCCAACGATCACCCGCAGCTGTCGGCCTGCGCAAGCAATGCCCAAAATGACAATCTCTACTACTCTCCTCCTCTGCGCGAGCACACTTCTGCTCGCCTCTCCCGCCGCCGCGCAAACTTTCCCATACGTGCCCACAGAGATTCTCATGCCCGACCCAACATGCGTTGACGGCAGTGTTCCATGTAGTGCTTCGAACCTAGCATACATCTTCCGACAAACAGCTTCAGGCAATGTTGAATTTCGATCCCTCGACTTTTCCAAGAGCATCGATGCAGACGAGGACAGCCTTGAGCGCGCAAGCAATGATACTGTCTTACCTTTTCTCGATGGTAGTTCCAAGAGCACTGCCTTCGGTGCTGCGAGAACAGCGAACGGCTCTGTCCTCGTTTATGCAGGTGACTGCGAATCTGGTAGCGGCGATGTTTGGAGTTTCGACTATAGCAACGATCAAGGCAAGTGGTCTCGTCGGGGTCTCAAGAACGGCGGAGACACCCGTCGCGCACCGTATTTCCTTGGAGGCACTGTTGCCTTTTCCTCCAGCCTCGCTCCTGATATGGACCAGCCAACTCTTTATACTTATGGAGGAATGTGCGAGACACCCGAGTCTGGAAGTGATACGACGAGCTGGCAGAGCAATGCCAACTACACCAAATCGATGCTGAGACTCGCACCCCATGATAGCGATGCTTTTACCTCGTATGAGATGAGCGTCGCTTCCAGTGGTGGACCAAAAACACCCATTGCAGGCTTTACTCTGACTGGTCTCACGCCCTCAATGACCAATAAATCTGGCATTGTGACGCAGCAGATGAGTTATGTACTTCTTGGTGGACATACCAAGACAGCCTTTATCAACATGAGCACTGTCGCTGTGTGGAATCTTCCCGCCGAGTCATGGAGTTATGTCAACATTCAAGCTCCAGATGTTGGTACGCCAAAGTCAGATCTTGCTGTGAAAGATACGAGCTCTCAGAATCGCCGCAGGAGCACTACCACTGCGGATAATGTCTACAGTCGTTCTGGGCATACTGCGACGCTCAGCGAGGATGGAAGCTCTATCATCGTTATAGGAGGATGGGTTGGCGATGTTAATACCCCTGCTGAACCGCAACTTGCGATCCTCGAGATGAGTGAGATCTACAGCGGCTGGCAGTGGAAGATCCCTGATCAACAACCTGATTTCAACGGAATCTACGGCCATGGCGCTGCAGTGTTGCCAGGAAATATGCTAATGGTCTACGGCGGCTGGGAGTCTTCGGGCTCTTCCTCTCGGAAAGTCAAGCGTCAAGCCTCGTCTGGAACACTTCGCTTCTACAATATCACGTCAGGTTCATGGGGATCACAATACACAAACCCCGCCTCTAGCTCATCGGATGATGATAACGACGCGCCCAAGGATGATAACAAAGGATCAAACTCGAAGCGCCTTGGCCTCGGTCTCGGCCTAGGCTTTGGTATTGCTGCCCTGATCGGCATCATCATTGGTGCTCTGTGTTGGTACAAGAGACGCAGACGGCATATCAGCAAGCGAGAAGAAGCTGTTAGGGCGCTTTCTCAAGATCCCAACTACTATAATAACGAATACCCCGAGATGATGGAAAATGATCCTTGGGGGCTCGATAGTGCCCCTTGGTATGGTACTGGCGAAAGCCCCTATGCTGCTGGCGAGCGATCTCTAGGCTACGAGTCTATGAGGGGCGCCCGAAGTGGTCATCCTGGGCTTCACATTCCACACAAATCTATGGCAAGACCGTCACGAAGAGGATATATACCTACGGGGCCACGGCCTACAAGTTTCCCGGGTCCAATTCATCCGATTTATGAGGACGATGAAGAGGAGACCTATCACAACCGAGGTCTTTATGATCACGTCCCGACTCCTACATCAGAGGTTCCCTCAGATCCTTTCCAGACTCCAGTCGCAGGCGTGGGTCCGAATAATATTCCTCACCCCATTTGCCTGACTCCCGGAGGCGGTAACAGAGCCTCGGCAACACCTAGCCCTGAGAGCCCGCGACATGATCCAGAGGTTCAAGATTGGGTCACTGAAGTTGATGCTGCGGAAGGACTACTTGCACGCATGAATAGTCGACGAAGCCAACACCAGAATGTACAGAACCTCGACAGCGCCGAAGGCTTGCTTGCGCGCATGAATAGCCGTCGAAGCCAGAACCAAGGAAGCGTGGGTCACAGTCAGGGTCGTTCTTCACCAACGCGGCATAACTCGACCCGTTCAGCTGCTCTACGAGATGATGAATCGCGAAGCGGATCTAACTTGTCCGAGTCAGCACGGAGCGCAGCGGAAAGCATCAAGGCTAAAGCACGTCAACTCAACCCTCTCGCCCCAGCGTTCCTAGCCGCTGGTGCCGAGCACCCTAAGCCAGGCAGTTCGTCGTCTAGTAGTTACAACACAGCCCGCTCGTCATTTGGTGTTCTTCAAGCAGAGGGTCCTTCGTTACTTATGGGAGATCGAGCTCCTCGCTACGATGATGATGAACCCTCGTCGCCGTCCAAGTCAAAGCCACGTAGGGGATGGCTGGGCTCTCTTCGGCGAGTGTTCTCAGGGGCTAGTACCCCAACATCATCCCGCGAAGATATGTCTGGCATACGCCGTTCGTTTGATCAAGAGCCCGTGACTGGTGACTACGAGCCCGGCCTGGTTGGTCTACGCGGCGAGCTTCTTAGAAGGAAGAAAGGTCGACAGGACTGGGAAGGTGTTGAAAGCGATTCGCATGGCGCTATGATGTCTGGTGGAGCCGGACTTGAGCCTGGAGCTGAGTCTGACTGGGATATTGAGAAGGCTGTTGAGCAGCGATTGGTGCAGGTCATGTTCACTGTCCCTCGAGAACGTTTAAGAGTTGTTAATGGCAACGAGGAGGGCAGCGATCGAGAGGACGAGGTGCCGATGGAGCCACACAAGGCTGAGTTTGTTGACCCAGACAACGAGAGCCAGACATCAGGAGGTGTCAGTATTCGCGAGAAGCGGGATGAACGTGGATTTGGACAAGCTGGCATTCGGCCAGTGGCGGAGCCAAAGAGGGACGACGAGATTAACGAAAAGCAACCGCTTGTTCAGGATGATCAAGAACAGCTAGATAAGAGGCGTCGTCTTGAGGAAGAGGGACAGCGGCTGATGGATGAGAAGCGTGCCGAGGAACAACGTCTTGCAGAAGAGAAATCTCGACAAGCACAACAGAAGGACAAGGAGTCTGAGAAGAGAGAGCTACCACAACCTACATCACAAGAACAACAGCAACCCCCTCCAGAAACACTACAACAAGCGAAACCCCCTCATCTTCAGCCACCTCAGCCTCTCTTCCAGCGCAGCTCCCGGGATTCTTCACCGTCGTCATCGCGTTCTCCTTCTCCTCTACCATCTCCTGGCCACCCGTCTCACTCAAGACGACACACGCGAGGCAACTCAAACAACTCTGTCGGCGGCTTCCTCCACCCAGATCTGGCTCCACTAGAGCCACGCTTCTCGCACGAAACAGACCGTTCCTCGGGTGTACTTCTCGAAGCTCAAGCAGTTCCCCTCACACGAGAACGAGCTCGAACACGCGTCTTGGCTATGGTCGATAGTTTCGAGAGTCTAAGTCGCGAGAACAGCCCGAGTCCCACACGGTTCCAATAGTCGGAGGAGAAAAGACGCAAAAGGTTATGCACAGAGCGTGGATTTGTTACTTTGGTTTGCAGGGTGTTTGGGTGCAGGATAACCGGAACATAGGGTTTGCTTGATTTGGAATTCGTTTCAGCATTTTCAGGGCATATTTTATTTGGATTGTCATGAGTCTTGGATCTGTATATATATCATCATGTATCTATGTGCTCAAGATATTACCCTATAAGTGGGATACGATTAAAAAGACAGGAATTCGCTTTTACACTTCATGCCCATTCTTGATTTAGTGCTTCGCCGTCTCTAACCTCCTTATAATGTTCCTGTCTACAGAGTATTCCACGACGTTGACCTTCTAGGCTCATCATTTAGCCACGAGGATATCCACAAACTTATTAGACTCCATCGTCTCCAGCCGTAAACTAGTTGGTTTCAACGTGACTCCCACTTTCCGCGGCATTTCTCCATAGTGCGTTTTCAAGACTAAAGTTGTAAAGCCATGGGCCACGTCAAATGTGGCGTTGTACGCCTCGCGAGCGTCGGTTCTGCTCTATTCAAGCCGCGGACCGCTTGACACCACGCGCGATTCATGTTGCCTCACGTTTCAAAGCCAGCAATAGATCGCTTGAGGTGATGACTCAGTATAGATCACAGGGGGACGAGTTGCATGTAGAGATGGAGAAAGAGGCGGATAACTTCACCGTGGAGCTAGCTTGATCACAAGTTCTTTCTTTAGTGAGCGTCATGAAACTCAAGAAAGCGGTCACTCTTGTGTCACAGAGATGAAAAGTGAGAGCAGTAGTTGCAGACCAAGAAATGAAGAGAATACTTTTGGCCGCTATCTCAACCTCGTCGCCCTATGCATTTATGCTGGCTCTATGTACGTAAGACTGACCCCAAACTGACAACGACGACCTGCAAATTATATCCAGACTTTGAAGCCAACACTGAGCGCCCGCGGAAGTCATTCAAACTCGGCGACTCTGTCACGCCCTTCACAGGTCGCTGTCCCTCATCCATTGTGCCATAACTGTTTGGTCGAGGTCGCCGTTGCCGTGATGCCATAAAGTATAAAATCCGAATCGAAAATTAAGCGTTGGTTTCTGCCGTCATGCATGACCTTTCCAATAGTGATGTGCGAGGCAGCAGTCACTTGGCTCGCTCGTATATGTACCATACCATGATCCCGCCAGTTGCTGGGGGCGTTCGTCCCATGTTCCGTTGTGTATGTAATCCCCCTTGTAAAATGCCAACGCCTTCCTGGTATCTCGAAATGCAACAAAACCCCTTTGGGTTTCAAAAGTGAGCCGGGAGAAAGTGAGATTCGTGTGCTTCATGGGTCATTGTGACCATTTTGTCTGCTCGTCTGGAACATCTTTCATTATCCATCCCAAGAAATTCTGCTAGACTCCAGGGATTCAAGTTGAGAATGTACCCTCAAGGCAAAATGATGCCGTACTCTTGATCAAATAGATAAGTGCCTCTTTTCGTAGTCTCATCTTATAAAAGATGGCTTTTGGAGCCCAGCGGAATTTTCGGAGTTGCCGAATGTCCTGTCGGTCAAGGCTCGGGCGTTGGATCGGGGTTTGTTGCACGAAGAACCTTGGGTGGCTGAATCCTCCTCGAATAGTCGTGGTCATCTCGCAATGTGTTGATACTCTCATGACTTGCGCTTCGAACGTACAACCCTTGCTTAAACGGATCCATTCGAGGATCGACTTGCAAGGTGCTGTTACGGCTTCCTGCCGCGGCTGATGCAATTGGTGATCCAGCCATGCTCATATCAGGTCGTGCAATGCCCGAGGAGCTATCTCGAACACTGGGATCGTCCTGATAGGCTTCTTGTTCGTTCTGTTGCTTCTTTCGTCGGAACCAGAGGAATAGCACGAGGCCTGCGGCACCGATGACGGCTGCAATCACGCCTACCACGATACCGACAACTTGGCCAGTGCCAAGTCCACTCTTCTCGGTAGTTGAGCCATTGGTGTTTTCGCTTGCGGTCGTTCCGCCAGTCTCCGTCGGGGCTGCCACAGTGACGGTCCTGATAGTACCGCCAGCAGTGACAGTCTGGACAACAGAGGTGCGCGAACTAGATGTAGTTGATTCATCCTCGGCTGTGCTCGTGACTGAGGTTTGATCTTCGGTCTAAATCCATAGTCAGTGTCTGTCCTAAACCTCTCTATTACATCACCGATTTCCGAGGCGAGATAACATTCGTGTTGAGACAAGGCATACAGTTGAGGTTGTTTCTGGCTCCGAGCTGGACGTGGACGTGGAGGTCGATATGGATGTGGATGATGGCTTTAGAGTCACCGTATTCTGTATTGTCTCAGTCACTCTGGATACGGCCACGGTGGTTGGTTTTGCCTGATGGTTGCCTGTGTTAAGCCGTGGTATCTTACCAACCGCAGAAGGGTTTAAATGGACTGAGATGTACAGGTGGAAGAGTTGGGTAGGCAGACACTCGTCTGATCACGGCATATGCGGCGATCACAACACGAAACATGATCATGTCACAGGATTTGACTTACTGTGGTTGATGAAGGGGAAGGGCCCCTTGAGCCTGAAGGCTCGACGTTGCCAAGAGACACATATCCGTACACTCCGTCACCACCGCAGACTTCATCAGGCCATGCTGGGCAAGGAGTATCGCACTTGGAGTCGTCCACTTGGGATGACTTGACAGGAGCGTAATTCGAACACCAGCATAGCTTATCCTGAGTGATAGCGTATGCCCAGTCATCGATACAGAAATCGTGGCAGAGGCCATTTGTCTGATAAATGCTCGTATCTATTAAGAAAATTAGAGGCTGCAAGGTGTGTATACGACGGGGTTACATACTCCTGGGAGTCTCGCCAGTATTGTAGCTAGCACAATACTCGATGTTTAGGGTAGCAGCTAGAGGTGCCCATGATGATGCTATCAAGAGGAGCAAGCCGGCCTGTTGGGCATGTCTGGAAAGAGGAGACATGATGATTATGACTTGGTCAAGAAAACTAGGTTGAATTTAAGGTTAGAATGTGTCGAGTTGAAGGGGGCCGAGGAGAGCCCAGGCAGAAGGAGCATGTTACACACCTTTACCAAAGAGACTGAGCAAGAGAGCATGTGAGGTCGGGTGCAACAGAGATGAAGCAGGCTTTTCATAACATGACACGGTTGCGGGAGAACTCTCAGTTGGACAAAGCCATACCACGTTTGACGTCGAGAGGTGTAGTACTACCGGCAGGTGTGATTTCGCGTAGGTAGATGTCCCGACGCCGGAGCAAGACAGCCGGTATCGTCAATTGTGATCCGGGCTGGGTTGAGCAAGGTAGCACAATGAAGTGTCCAAGCAGGTTGTATGTGATTCACCGGGAGATCAGTGGCTTTTCGAAGATGGGGATTTAGATTCGCGATGATCGGGTATCGTGTTTGGTTCGAGATGAAAGAATTATCGATGAGTGACAGTCAAGAGTCGAGAGCTTCCTGAGGCTCAAGTGGTTATCGATGAATAATTCTGGCAATCCTCGTAGATTTCCAGTTGCCAACACAAGCGAATGGTCGGTACGATACGATGCGATCCCAAAACGTGAACAATGCCAATTATCCCAAGACGAAAAGAAACCCAGATCCAAAAGTCACCACAAGGGTAAAAGAAAAAGAGAAAGAACAATTCCCAGCCAACGAAATAGATATCGTGGAGATGATTAGGAGCGGGAGGTTGGGGTGTGATTGAGAAATAATAGGTTGAGGCAGAGGCAGAGGTAGAGGTAGGAATACGTGACAACTGAAGAGGTCGAGGTCGAGAAGGGAGATTTGGGATGGGAAAAGGTGTGAGGGAAGTAGCGACTAGAGTGGTCAAATCAGGTAAGAGGTAGGTAGGTATCTGTACCTAGCACGGTAGTCCCGGGCCCTAGTGGAGGGGCGGCGGCAGCAGCGACCGGGATGGGAAACAAGGAAGGAAGAACGAAGACGAGCGATGAACTCTCTAACCAAATTTGGCCCGACTTGAGAATAGAAGAGGGCCTGGGAATAGCGACGGACGAGAAAAGTTCTAGGGAGTTACCTAGGCAAAATCGATAAATTGGATTGTTGATTCCTGTGGAAGCATCGATGTGTGTTCCTTGGAGTGGTCCTCAGTCGACAGTTTGTCAACGACTCCTCTCCCTCTTGAATAACAGGGCGCACTCTTGAATAGAGTTGCACTGGAGGTCACGATACGGCCTGGCAACAAAGCCCAAGCAGCGCAGTAAGTTCCCAGTACGTACCGCGCAAAGTATCGCAGGGGTCGTGGGACCAAAAATGGAAAGGTTCCAACACTCAGCTGCAAAGCCAAGGCTGGGCGGACAAAGGAGGCTCCACGCTCTGAAAAAGAACCAAGGAGAGGGGAGTCAAGATGAAGCGGGAAGAGACCGATCCGATGGCCTAGCAGGTAGTTCCCTTTGAGCGTGATTGATGATGAAAAGAGGTGTGATGGTGGTGCAGCAGTAGTGCTATTATCTCGGCGTAAAATGGCCGTCTTTTTTTTTTTTTGTTTTCTTGGTTTGAGTGAGTGTGAAATGAGGTGGTAGCAAAAAGATTGAGCTTAGAATGAAAGAATATTAAGGAACGAATTGAAAGGAATGAAAGACAAGTCAATTGTGCGTAGAAAGAGAAGAAGAGAGATAAGATGATATTGCAGGAAAGGAACTTGGTAAAATTGATTGAGCCAGAAGAGGTAGAACTGATCGACTTGAAATTACCTGAGGTAAGCAATCCTCGCGTTGTTGCTGGTCAACAGCAGGTCCAGTATGAAGCTGTCCACAGAATCACAGTGACGAAACGATTTCCACATATTATGAGATACACACAGGCTCAAGATCTGATATGATCCTCTACAGATACAAGCATAATCACAACTTGACAGAAAAAAATAAAGAAAATTCATTAAATAAAATAAGATAAAAGATGGACCCTCGTTTCCGCAAGCTCCCCTATCCCTCACCTACCTAGCCTACCAACAAGACACTAAAACACGAGGCGCCCGTGGCCTCATATGATGCCTGTAGCAGATGTCGTCACCGCTGAGAGCGCTGTGGGCGGTGTTATTGTTTTAGGGGAGTGACAGTGCTTTTTGGGTTGGTTGGGTTTTATTACGGGAGGTTGAGAGGGGGGGGCGTGTCGTGTCATATCGTGTGGAAGTTGCAGGGGCAGCCAGAGAAGAGGGAGTGGGATCTGCATGGGCCCTGGACAGGGGTGTGAGCGGCGATCTTGATAGAAGCGAAGAGTGGGAGAGGAGAAATGTATGTACTAATACTGTTGCGGAGTGTTGCAAGAGCCCGTCCGACAATCGCAATTCGTGGTCTGAAATGTGAATTGTATGGCGATGTGGTATGGGAAAGGCGATCCTTGTAAACCATCACTCTGTCTATATCTGATCCTCCTTACCGAGTGCTCTTATCCTTTCGATATTAAACAATTCCTCTTCTCCTCTAGTCTAGCATGCTAATATATAATCAGCTGGCTTCTACCTCTTTGGCTTTGGCTTGCCGCTACCTTTATGGGCTTAAGAAATCGAAATTGGACATTAGTGACAACCACTTCACTCTCTGCTCGGCAACCCTTTATCCGGATTGACCTCAGCCCTTGGCACTCTTCTCTCAGGTTGCCTTTGTGCTTCCTTCAGTGCATCAAAAGACAAAGCATCAAAGTCAGGAACTCTTTCTTCCGTCTCCTCCTGTCATGACGCGCAGATGGCTCTTCAAATCTTACAACGTACAGCGCTAGAACGAGATTATTGAAACACAGTTCCTCCAAAGATCTCGGCGTTTGCTGTAGCTGTTGAACGGTAATTCGCGCTCCAGCCCAAGATCTCAGTTCAAGACAAACTCGACAGAATTATAACAGCACCCAATAGACTGGTAATTGGTGCATATTTTTGGTCAACCCCCATGCCCATCATCTTGTTTTGACTCCACTGTTCCCACCCTCCAAACGCGCGATAGATATCGTGAGTCTAGCGGCTCTTCTTGGCTATGTATGTATGGAACGAACCATTCCTCATTGTGCAAAAAACATCCCATTCTCCTCAATCGAAGACGACAGAATGAAGCAATTGCGGACACAAACAAAGTTGCCGTGCATCCCGCTGTACTACTACTGTACGTACAGCTTGACTCTCCTCCCGCTTCTAAGCACTACCTTGCCTTACTGTCTCTCACTATCCCCAACATAGAACTCAACTCACATGAACTAGTGCCTGAGTTCAGCGCCGCGCCGTTGGACGTGGCATCGCCCAGTTTAGGAAACGGTGACCTACCATAACGGGCCATTTCCGGCCCCTTTTTGTAAGTTTTGTGTTTTTAACCACGACGATCCCGTCGCCGGACAAAGTAGAGGCCAAGATGATGGTTGTGGGTGAGAATTGCGTGTGTAGGCTCTAACTAGAGGCCCCAAAGATGTTTGATCAGCATCAAAAACAGTGAATATCTCGCAATATCTCTGGCTTGCTCCACAGTCCACAGACCATGACCAAAAATCTAAATATCCCTGCTCCGTGGGACTCGTGGTTTCAGTCATTTTGGAGCCGGCCCGCGGAAGGGAGAGAGGGAGCATGGATTATGATGGACTTGACAAGGTTGTAAGTGGGATAAGGTTGGAGAGAAACATGAAATAACATGCGCGAAACCGTTCGGCCATGTTCTTGGAGATTCCCGCATGATAGCGAGCGAGCGAGCGATCGCGATCGGTTTACTTACTCCATGGAGAAACAGACAGAACAAGCCTTTTTCTTTGATCCTTATCTGGGTCGTTTCCATGTTGGATACAAGTCAATCATGTGCCAGGAATGGCCGTTTATCTTTGACGCAGAAACTTGCCCTTGCAACAACACGAGCATTGACCCGTCTCCCCGCTCTCGTATAATCAATCCATCAGATCATAACCCTTGACAATTTTAAATATTTTGCCTCGACAATACAATACATACGCGGAAGCGAGTCTCCCTTTCAAAGTTCGACGTCATCAAGAGAGACTCGCTGTTGTCGTGTGACTGGAGATCTAAGACTCACCTTTAATTTTCTGACCTGGCAACAATCTACTCAGTAGGCACGGAGTAGCTATTAGTAGCTCCAGTCTTCTCTCTTCCATGTGTCTAGTCTAGCTGATTCATTAGCTCGAGGGTTTAACTTACAAATAATCCATCCATTGCCTTGTCCAGCTGATCACGTAAACCAACTCGAGAATACGTATCTTTTAACTTGGAACAAAAGTCAATTGATAGATAGCCTTGGTATGCTGACACGCTAAGAGGTCTGTCTAGTCCATCTTGAGACGACGTTGCTACGGTTCGGTCTTTTTCTGTGTGGAAAATGGCACGATATGCACGATAGTGGTGGTGGTGAAGCTTAGAAATGGCTGGAGATTGTGAGCCTCTTGATCTAGAATCCGGGGCTTTTTCTTCTTCCTTTTTGGTATGATAATAGCAGCCTCTTATTATCGATGATGATGGCTGATGATGATCAAAAACTTGGCACTTGGGTAATATTTCGATCAGTTATTATCCAGGAACCACCGCCTTTAATTTTGTATGTCACTGGCGGTCCAATAACCTCGTCACACTTTTATCTACAGATTATGTACTATGCTATGGGATCTAGACGATGTCTTGTGCCTACACCACCTTTGAATCTCACTCACATTTCTCAGTGTCCGACTTCAACACCCTCCATCAAGCGCAACACGAACTCCAACTGCCGCCAAGTACAGTGACTGCTACCCCATCTCTGCAGACGAGTACACCCTCTTTGACGCGCTTGTGTCCAATTGGCCAATGGCGTAGCTAGCTCTTCCGATTTCTTACATGCTGTATCGTATTTCTCGAGAACCCCTTTGCTTGTCACAACTGAAGTGAATGAACACGGGCGTGGCAAAGATGCTTCGTAATGTCTCAATCTGCGACGCTATTCCCAACCAAATTCTCGGCTGTATGCTTGGAGAGTCACGCAAGCGTTGATATGCGTGGGGGCATTGTCACGATTCTCTAGACTCTTGTGGTGCAGTCTGTGTTGTGTTATGTCTCGTGAATGTGTATCGGCATCATCGAGCCGTAAACCGAGGCTGTCACCATAAATATCTTGGCCGCCACATCCGCCATGTTCCTCTAACCACTGCCATCATGACTGACGGCTCTGTATCACGTTATCTTGAGTAGTTGAGGCTCCGTAGTCCAAGGTAACTTTACTAAGCTCTGACATGTTCGCACATGCCAATGGCTTGGTCCTTCTGTCAATGTAGTGACTTCTCGGCTCTATGCTGTGCCACGGAGCACCACTGTCTGTCTGTATGTCTTCTACTTAGCCGACGAACCTTGATGTACTGTACAACCCCCTCTGCATGTACTATTTCCCCTCTATGATGCTGGAGTGAGAATATATGATTCCTTCATGTTGAGGGAAAAGGCTATCACAGGCAAATCACAAGCTCAAACACTGTCGCTATTGCGTGTTTGGCTGCGCCGCTCTGCCAGGAGAATGCCACTTCAGGGTCCGCAATCTGCAAGCCGCCCGCCACCAGCTGCAGTCGGTTGATGTTAGTTGCGTGGTGAGGGTGTAGAGGCTCAATTTTTGGGGTTTTTCCGCTCAAAGGTTCCGGGGCATTTTGCAAACTGCAGTATCGTGGAGCTTTGTCTGCTGTGATATTCAAGTGTATGTTGCTGTTGTGTCTCTACTCTAAGTTTTTCTATTTTGTAGTACACGTAACCATTCTCTGGTCTGACTCTCTGGATATCATTGATTCGTACATCTCAGAGCTAAAGTTACGGCATGTGGGAGAAATACCTCAGCTTTCCACGACGACGATGGAGCAGTTTTAAACATATAAGCTCGGTTGAGTAGTTTAACTTACTTGTTGGGTCTTCTTCTGTCTTTGACATGCGTGTTCATCGTCTTTGAAGCGTCATGGCCTTCCCACTATGGCTTTGAGTTTTTCGCGCATGCAAAGCTAATCGACGTGAAACACTCGGTCCAGATCTTAGTCGAGGTAATGGAGCAGAGCCGCAAAACAAACCTTTCATGGAAACCCAATCGAGGCTTTTGACTGCATAGGTCCGACTTGCGACGAAATCTCTGTTATGATTACTTGATGAGATGTGGCTCTTGCAAACGATCAAATTATGAGTGCAATCTTTAGGTGAGATGCTGATCTAGGGTAGGCACACATCACAATGCTTTGCCATGCCTTGTCTGGGGTAAGAGTGCTTCAGAGCTGACCACTCATGGTCTTCAGCTGTGGCAGGTGGCACCACAGGATGGCCCAAGCTCCCTGCCTAGCACTATGTCATCGCCTAAGTCGGATGCGTCTCTGATCTTGAGATACGCATCATCAGCCTTGCCAAGTACAATATCAACATTCACAACAGACATCGAGTATATGCACACTGAGCCTCACAACCCTCTTTCAATACCCGCGACTGAATAACTGAGCCTGGAGCTCACTATAATATCTTCGATTTTCTTGCCGATGTGACTAGTTGACCAAAAGGTCCCTTCCGGCCCCTCCGGCTTCGACCGTACTCAGCCTGTCGATATGGTCGCGATATCAGGCTTTCGGAGTCTCTCGACTCCTGTGAATCGAACTCGACGTCTTCCTATGATACTTGGAGGTGGTGCATTCTTCATCATGTGCATCATATACCTCCTTCTCTCCATCGCACCTTGCATGGTGTATGGGAATTGCTATCGTGGTTATTCGAGTGCTTACAGCTTCGATGCTGACTTGGCCCACAACCCGACCTGGATGGCCGACATTCCTGACGATGTATTCCTCTCGAGCCTCAGTATACCGGGCACACACGACACAATGACCTATGAGATAGGATCAGAGACTCTGCAGTGTCAGAATTGGAACCTGACTACCCAGCTGGAAGCGGGCATTCGTTACTTCGACATCCGCGCTCGTGTGCGTGATGATGAGTTGCATATTTACCATGCTAATGGGTACACTGGCTTCAGCTTCGAGGATGTGGTTGGCTATATGAACGACTTCCTGGACAGGAACCCTTCTGAGGCGATCATCATGCGCCTCAAGCAGGAAGGCAACGGTATTGGAGACAACAACACTCTGTCATTCGAAGCCGCCTTCAACAAATACCCACTTGGGGATCGGCTGTACAACTACAGCGCTTCTGAACCCCTGCCAACTCTTGGTAGTCTTCGCTCCAAGATCTTTGTTCTTCAAAACTTCCCAGCTTGGCGAGGAGGACCGTATGGTCTGAAGTGGGAAGGTCATCAAATGATCCTAGAAGATATATGGATCATCCCTGATATCTACCATCTGTCGGAGAAGTGGACTGCGATCCGTGATGCCCTCGAACTCGCTGCGACAGCAGCTCTCGACAACAAGGTCCTCTATTTGGCACATATTTCAGCTTCTGTTGGTGTCTTGCCCATCGAGGCTGCGGCTGGGCCCATGAACCGAACCGTCACCGGCATGAACGATATGACTGGCCAGTGGATTAAGGATTTTGAAGATAACGAAGACACTACCCGAACTGGAATCGTCATCATTGATTTTCCCGGCAAGAAGTTCATTGATGCCATTCTTCGATGGAATAAGTCATATACAAAGAAGCAAGCATAAGCCCAGACCGATCATTGGCTGTGCTCAAGCCCTCCCCTGGCAATACTAAGGCCTCCTGTCTTGATACATCGGACACCCCAAAGCCTGGTCGTTGGTTATTGTCAGGCTTTCTCATCTGAGACTCTGACGTCTCACCTCTCACTCATGGAATCGATACCCCACAGCATTGTGTACCATAGCTAGCTCTCTAAATTACAATCGTCAGCGTGGCTGAACAAATAGCATCACTAAACAGCAAATAAATTTTTTATCAGAATGCATATTCAAATGAGGATTATCCAATTTCCCCCCCGTTGATCAATTCCTCATCATGCCCCTGCATATGACGTGGATACTGTGGCGTCCGGATGCGTTTCACCAGGTCATGTTCACAGAGTCAAAGAGAAAAGATCTTCAGGGACAGAAACACCAAAAATCAAGGCAGAGACTGTATAACGAAACAAAAGTACAGTACATAAAGCCCACGCTTTCGGTCTGTGTCCACCCTGTCTCGATTTCTGTCTGTCAATCAATCAATCGCTGACTGTTCCGAACCCGGTGCGCGTTTCTGACACACCTTGAGATGTGAATGTGTTGTCCTGTGCGTGGTTGGCTATGACGTTGAGACTGAGATCGACACAATGCGATTGTGAAGTTGGGACGTTGATGGAGTGACATGGTCAAGGTCAAATTACTCTGATGGTTATAGTTGAGTGAATGATCTGATATGCATGTGAAATTACATAGGCTGGTTACCCGGTATTAAAGGATTAAATAAACGAAGCGAAAACTATGGGCTATTGCTCTGTCTTCTAAAGCTAGATCGAGATAGAAGTTGAAGTTGTTAAACAATACGGATGATTGTAGGACAAGCAAGTAACTGAATTATAGTCATAGAATGAAGGTGTTGCGTGATGACATTCGAATGTAGAGTTAAATCTTCATCTGACACATCAAACTACAGCAAAGTACACGGCACTGAGTAAGAAGAGCGAGTAAAACAGAATATCTTCCAGCCTAATACTATTCGATAGGCTTAATTGCCTGAACCGCTTTACCCCCCCGTAATGCAAGAATCCTACAATACTTTACAGGGCCTCGTTCTAGAAACCCGACTCCCAAAGTCTTGTTACTCTAATTTGTATCACAGAAACAGGCAAGCAAATTCGCCGCCCAAAGGGTATATGCACTTCCTGAACGCCTTGCAGCTAAAACACCTGAAGCCCTCCCAAAGCCAATTCTAATAGACGCAAGAGTCTGATGTAACTCTTTTGTTTCGAAGCATTGCTGAAACCGACTGATTCAATATGATATGTTGTTGAGACCAAGTGAAGTCTCCAAGGAGCATGTGTGCATGTGTGTAAAAGCAGTAATAATTGTAGTAGTAGTAAAAGGAGATGTGTACTGATTGATAATGCAAAGGTCGAAAAGGAGCATAATGTGACAAAAGCCCTGATAAACGCCCTGGAAATGCGACTCGTCTGTTGTCCATCCGTTCGTTCCTGATCAGACTGCTTTGCTTGGTCGTGTCCGAAGTCATCTTCTGCGGGTCGTATCGTTATTGTATATCCATGACCAAACTCGTATCCTCTCTTCCCTTTTCTTTTGTCTTTTCTCTCTTTTCGTTCTCTCGTACTCAAAACATGCCGACTTCCTTGCTTCATTCAATTTCTGTCTTTCATCGTCGGGGCCTCTTCTCACGTTCACTCGATAAATTTCCGACTCCTTCTTCGCTTCTTCTCTTGCGTCCACGATCCTCTCGTCCATCGCGGCGATCCTCCGGTCGCAATCCTCCATCACGCTGTCCTCCACGACCGCCTCCTCTACCGCTGCCTGCCCAATCTTCTCCACTTCGGCCACTTTGACCATCACCTCTGTGTCGCCCTTCACGACCTTGAACGAGGTCTCTACCACCTGTGGGAGGAGGTCCCATAGGCTCTCGTGGAACACCGCTTTGATCTCTGTTAGATCTTCTAGATTCCCTCTCTTCTCTGCCACCTTCGCCAGCTCCTGATCGACGGTCCCGATATTCGCGATGCTCTTTGCCCTCACGTTCTCGGGCTGGACTACGATCACGCTCTCGTTCACGACTTCCTCGACGTGAAGCGCGGTTGGATCTACTCTCGCGGTCGCCACGGCGACTTCGGTCATGCTCGCTACGACCTGAGCTCTCCTCTCCATTGGCAGGCGCCCGGCTTGACGATTCGTTCCTGATAGGATCTTGGCGTTCTTGAGCTGGTGTAGCAGTGGGAGAACCTCCAGTCAAGACTTGAGCATCGGAGTTGCCAAGGGTTTGGCGCGAATGACGACCTCTTCCGCTGTTGCTTCGGCTGACATCCGGCATGTTGGCCTGCGCTTGTTGCAGGGTGCTGTTGATGCCTTGGAGCTGCCTCCGCCCACCCCCATTGCGAACACGCTCGTTCGAGGAGGCTGGACCGGTAGGTACGTTAGGCTCGCCAGCTGGTGATCCTGCGTAGCTGCCAGGTGTTTGTCGTTGTCCAGGGCCAGGACCTCGGTCAGGAGTGCCAGTTCCAGGCATTGACTGACGATTGTGACCATGATTATGGCCATGAGGATGAGATGGTGGCGGCCCAGGAGGGGGCGGAGGGACTGCACCAACTTGAGCACCGATTTGTGCTAGACGCTCTGGATGGACCCCTGAAGGTGTAGCATTAGTGGATGCAGGAGAAGGCAGACCCTGGCTGGGGCCGGCGTTTCTCATCCGGTTCTGAGGGCCGCTGGGCGTGCCTGAAGGCGTGACAGGGCCGTTGTTCTGCTCGAACCCACGTCTTCCTCTGCCTGACGCCGCCGGGCCAGTTGGTGGAGGTCGATCTGGAGTAGGAGGCCGTTCGCCTTCCGCACCAGCAAACCTGCCATCAAGTCGACCGGGCAGCCCTTGAGGTACACCATGACCTCTATTTGAACCTCGTCCACGGGCTCTTGGTCCGCTTGGTCCATAAGGCACTTCAGTGACATTCTGTATCGAGTTGAGACGTCCATAAGAATCATCTTGATGAGGTGGCTTGTGCTCAGGCTCAGGAACCCGAGAAGGAGTTCCATGAAAACTAGAAGCATCGCGACCTTTAGGTCCAGAACTTCGCTCAGCCTCACGGTCCATTGGTCTATCGCCGCGGTATGGCGATCGCTCCCGGGGATCTCTTCCAGAAGAAGGCCGGTGTTCCACAGGATAGTTGCGATCATGTCGGTCTTCACGTCCGCCTTCAGGCTGACCACTCTCATGCCCATACCGACCTCCTCGTCGAGGAGATTGAACGCGGGTGCTGTGATCTCGTGGCTCGTTCCGAGGGGCACGTGAAGGTGTGTTATCTCTGTTACCCATCAGGGCAGCCCTCTCCGGATTGATCGTATCCATTGGCTCCACCGGAGCGTTCTTACGACCTCTACTAGACCGGTCAGAGTCCGGTGCACGGGCCCGTTCGTTGTCTTGAGCAAACAGGGCAGCTCGTTCGGGGTTGATATGTGGCTCAGGTGCTTCGACAGCTGCAGCGGGAACTGTAGGGGCTGGGGTAGGCGTTTCGTTCAAGCGACCATGGTCGTGACCTCTACTGCTCTTAGAATCCCTAGTTCGGTCTCGGTCATGTTCGCTACGACGACTTGATCCATCAGTTCGAGATGATTCCCGGCCGTGATCTTGTGTTCGTCGCTCAGAGAAGTCGCGTGAACGATCAGGACGAGCAGGATCAAAATTTCGAGAATCGCGCTGATCCCGGGACTCACGAGGTTCTCTAGGCTCACGCTGATCTCGAGTATCGCGAGGTTCCCTGGGCTCACGAGAATCCCTAGACCGTGCATCTCTGGGCTCTTTACCATCACGACGCTCATGCCCGCGGGATTGGTTAAATCTCTCGGGAGTGTAGTGCGCGGGAATAGGCACATCAGGCCGACTGGGTAGGGTATGAGGTGGCCGCTCCGGAAGCGTGTTAGGCCGAGAGTCGTGCTTCGCGCCAGCACCGGTTCCAGAATTGTTGTTCGAGGCGCGGGGACCAGATGGTGTATGGTCGCGTTTCGAGTCCCGAGACGATCCTGGCTTGGCTGGCAGCAAGTCCTTCGCCGGGCCTGTGGGCTTCGTTGGATCTGTCGCGGAATTCTTGAGGTCTTTGCCATCCTTGACCTCTCCGTCTTCCTCCTCAGCAGTCGTTTGTTTCCCTCTTGATTGCCTAGCCCTGTTAGACTTGATAAATCCTTGCCCGAGATATCGACTTACTTGTTGGGACCGGGCTTGAATTCCGGCGCAGTTGCACGCAGATTGTTCGTCTTGTCTGCTTCGTTTTGTGCAGCGCCAGCCTATTAAGGGTCAGTAATGTCCGTATATCTAACATCGTAGCACTTACACCACCCGGGCGGAAAGCCTGGACCATAACCCATTTGGATTTCCTCCTCTGAAGTTCTGACATGGCACCCTGAGCAGCGACTGACAGATCGACACGTCCGCCAACCTCGCTATCAGGAGAAGGTTTGGCAGCACTCTCTTGCTTGGTGATAGTTTGGAGGAGGCTTGAAAACTTCGTAGCCATAAAGTCGATAGCTGGGAAGAAATCGAGGACCGCCTTCAGAACTGTGATGGCATTTCGAATATGCATCCATTCCGTACCCTCCAAACAAGAACGCAGAGCGCTATTGAGGTTCTTGTGCCAGCGGAAGAGCAAGTCACGGAATTGTTCGTGTTCAACAAAGGTTAGTGGCTTGTCATTGTCGTCAAAAGTCAGAGCGAACCCAAGGCGGGGCTGATCGGGGGTTCCCTTGGCCTCCTTTTCATACACACCCAGTCTTGGTTGGTCTCTTGACTTGTCCTTGTCATTGGGAACTGTCGCGTTCTTGTGCCAACGCGATAGATCCTCGAGAATAAGCTTCAAGAAGCGACCGAGATACTCAGCCTCCATGACTGTAGATGTAAAAATAAGGGCCCTCAGGCGGTTGGCGTTGAAAAGTCGGTCGTAGAGTGACATCAATTGGAAGCCAGGGGCATTACCTTCGTGCAGTGCCTTGATAAACTTGTATGT